TAAAAAATATAAAATATAACATGTAAAATATAAATATAAAATTTAACATATATAAAAAATATAAAATATATAAAAATAAAAAATATAACATATAACATATAAAATATAAATATAAAATTTAACATATATAAAATATAAATATAAAATTTAACATATATAAAATATAAATATAAAATATATGAAAATACAGAATTTATACTTCTTCCTGCAGTTTCTCTTTGTACAGTTTATGAGATGAAGATGAAGATGAGTTATTGGATCCAGTTGTGTTCGTGACACTCTCAGACTTGCCCCCCCCCCCCCCCCCCGACCTTGCGTATGAACCTGTGAACAAACAGGCTAACATTAGCATACAGCGTGTGCGGCCCCCGAAGGCGCTCTGCTCGCTCGGCGCCGTGTCCATGGTGATCCTGGAATCAGACACACATAATGAGCGTCTCCTCCCCGCCCCCCCCCCAATGTGTCTCCTTTCATCTCTGTTGCCATGGCAACAGCAGAGCAGCCTCGGACTGAATGCTATGGATTTATTTCTCCTTTCTCTCCCTGAGCCGACCCCCTAACGGTCCGATGCTACAGGATCTCTGTCCGTCACCTCTGACCCCTGAGTCCTAAAACCTGGAACTGAGTTAGCATGTCAGCTCCTCCGCCCCCCGCCCCCAAAGGCAGCAGGTCGTTTGGTTCAAAGCCTGAAAGAAGGTCTGCAGGTTGCATCACTCTCAGCTAGCAGGAAGCCATCGTTAGCTTCTTACTGTTAGCATAATTTATTTAATGTTAGCCATCATTAAGGAAAATACAACAGAATTATTTATTTATTATATTATTTTTGCTGTCTGAGATAAAAACTACAGCGAGTGTTTTAATGCTATCTGTTGACAATAAACACATTCAAAATCATTTCCTTTTAAACCAAATGACTATAAATGAAACAAAATGAAGGTAAATCTCAGATTCAGTTGGATTTATCCGTTAACTCTCCTGCAGTCTCTTCCTCCCTTTAGACTCTCGTCTCAGGATCTGTCCTGTCCAAAAACCAGCGTGCGGTAATTAAAGCTGCTGTTGGGCAGTTTAAAGGCCAGGAGAGGAGAGGACGTGGCTTTATGAGGCCGAGTGTGAGTCACCTTCACAGAGAGAGTTTATTATTATATATATATATATATGACCTGAAGAAGAAACCATAAAGAATAAATTATTACTCACTCTGAGGAAGAATACGGAGAGTGGCTGTAATGGCGGGACATCAGTAAATCAAGAAATAATAACAAATATGTAGTTTGACACCTCTAGGATTTTACAGGATTATTTTGGGTCTGACAGTCGGATGCTTTTCTAAAATAACTGCGATGTTTTTAGGCATTTGTTTTGTAATTAAATTAAAGTGGAAATAGTAAAACCAGTTGATTGTTTTCCTTTAAGGCAGGGGTGGGGAACCTTTTTCACATCAAGGGCCATTTCAGTTTTTATAAAGTCCTCCGAGGACCATACTATTATGAACACATAACTAGGGATGAAAAAAAAGACGGAAAAAGTCTATAGCTGTGTCACTAAGCCTCATGATTGCTGCATTTCTAGACTCACCTAATGCGATGGCTGGAACTGTTTTTCTTTAGCGAGGCGTCTGATGTCAGCTGACAGTGATGATGATGCTACTCGAAGCTGGTTTTCCAAGTTTGAGTCTCAGTCTTGAGCGGAAGCGAGTCTTTGCAAGAGTCAGTTTTGAAAAGAACTGTTCACAGCTATATGTTGTCCCAAACAGAGATGCAAACTTCAGGGCATGTCTCCTCAGGATGGGAAAATCCTCAGCACGAACATACAGTTTGTAAAAGTCCAGCAGAGAGAGGTTGTTGTACTTGGCTTTGAGCTCATTGTTGTTTTGCAGCTCAATTATTTCCATTTGGAGGTTGTCTGGCACATCAGATGGTTGCAAATTAAATGGCGTCGCAAACAGGTCGAGTTCCTTTTGTATATTTTTCACATTATGAAACCTCTCATCAAATACCTGGATGAGTTTTGCACACTCACCAGCATATTCAGTCATAACATCAGGCTTTTGTTCTTGTAGGGTGGGAAAGTGCACAGTGTTTCCCATTTCCAGTTGTCCTTGCCACAGCCTTAACTTCACTACAGATGATTTCACATTTGAAAGCAGAGAGCTGATGAGCTGGTTGGGACCTTGCAGCTTGATGTTTAGCTCTGACAGGTGCTTGCTGATGTCCACCATGAAGGCCAGATCACAGAGGAACTTGCCATCACTGAGCTCCATGACAGGTTTCCCCTTCATCTCCATGAAGCGTCTGACTTCTTCCTGCAGTGTATAAAACCGTGCGAGCATATTTGCACGACTCAGCCATCGCACTTCACAGTGATAAACCAGATCACCGTACTCTGACTGAAGCTCACAGAGTAGCTCCTTGAACTGGCGGTTGTTCAGCCCTCTGCTTTTAATGAAGTTTATGGTGGACACAACTGTTTTCCTCACATTGGTAAGCTTCAGGGAATGTGCACACAAACTCTCTTGATGTATGATACAGTGGCATACAACTAAATCCCTTGGATCCAGACTCAGACGGCTCATTTCTTTTTTGACTAATGCGGTCAATCCGTTTTGCGCGCCAACCATTGCGGGAGCTCCGTCAGTGGTGATACCGCTCAACTTCTCAAATGGCAGTTCAAAATTGTTCATGGCCACAATAACTTGATTGAACAAATCCTCACCTTTAGTAGTGCCATGCATGGCTTGCAAACACAGCAACTCCTCCTTCGTTTCAAACTCGGTTGTAATCCCACGCACAAAAATGGCAAGCTGCGCTGTGTTTGTGATGTCTGTTGTCTCATCACAAGCCATAGAAAAATACTCAAAGTCTCTTGCAGTGTTCTTCAGTGTTTTTTCAATATCTTGCGCCATATCAGTAATCCTGTCTGAAACGGTTCTTCGAGACAAACTGACAATTTGAAATAATTTCACTTTGTCGGGCGCGAGCAGCTCCGCAGCAGCTACAAGGCACTCCTTCATGAACTCTCCTCCAGCATGAGGTTTCAGCTTCGTGGCTATTAATTCACTCACCACAAAACTTGCACGCGTAATATTCTCTCTGTCAGTCTGTGGTCGCGTGAAAGCTGCTTGTTGAGCACCCAAACTCCGACGAAGAGCGTTAATTTTATCCAAACGCGTTTGTCCTCTCAACTCGTCGAGTTTAGCATGTTTCGAGCTGTAGTGGCGCTCGACATTTGCCTTCTTAATCACCGCCAGCGCCTCGCCACAAACTAGGCACACTGGCTTGCCTTTCATTTCAACAAAGAAAAAGTAATTTGTCCATTTTTCCTGGAATACGTGGCATTCTGCATCCATCTTCCTTTTCTTGACAGTCGCCATGATGCATCATTTGTCATGTGTCAATCACTCCGGCCCTATGCAATGACACGTACATCGCATGCTGTATTCACTGACCCTGACGTTGACTCGGACAACGTCTGTTTTTTCTCAGAAAACTAATGGCTGGCGATTTTTTCCCGATTTTTTATTTATTCATATATGCATAAATGAAGATATAAAATATAAAAATTGTATTGCATTGCGGGCCATTTGAAATGGTCTCGCGGGCCGTATACGACGGGCTGCTGTGATTGGACAGAATTAACGGAATTAACTCGGACTGGTTGAATTTGTTGATTTTTGTTGTTGTTTTTCACTGAGTCACCGTCCAGTTTTGGAGGTTAAAGACCTTTAAAACTGCCTAAAAACATGAAAGATTAAAGTCTTCTGGGTGTTTTTAAGGTAAATTAGGATTATTTACAGGTACTTTAGGGATTACACTATGAAACTGAATCTTTTACCGTTTGTATTAATTAATAATGATGTGATGAAAGTATTTTAATAATTACTGGATAATTACTGGATGCCTTCATTCAATATAAGAAGGTATTTTAATGGATTATCTGTGTAGTTTAAGAGCTTTAAAGTGTAAACAAATCAGCTGACTGCGAGCTGATATAATGTCTGAGGATGATGAGGATGATGTAGGTCAGCTGTATGTGTGAGGAGAACAAACAAAGAACAGATTCACTAACAGACGAGTGTATATCCTGTTTCTGAGTCCGTCTGATGAGAAACATTTAAAATCCATAAACATCCTCGTGGTGACGTCCCAGCATGCATCAGTGCAGCTCCGAGTTCACTGAGTTTCAAACCTGATGAGTTGGTTGAAGTCAAACAGTTTAAGTTTATTCAAACAGTTGAAGTCTGAAAGATGTTTGATTTGAGTCGCAGTAACTCAAGTATTGATTGTTAATTAAGTTAATTAAACTAATTCCATTCAGTTAATTGAAGTTACTCTCATATGCAGCATTTCTCCAAACTTATTTAAAATGTGTTCACAATATATTTTTATGATGATTAATAAAGTGAAATAAAATGTCAAGCTATACAGCATTATAATGCTAACATTGTTATAATGATATAAAGTCAACTTAAAGAAAATGAGTCAGTGGAACAAACTGGAATTAAATACATATATATATATTATATATATATTTAATATATTATATATTATGTTTGGATGATTCATTTATGTTTTTGCTCATTTGTGACTCAGATTTGTTTTTTATTGACGACATAAGTCTGGTTTTAATCTTCTGATTCATTCATTAAGATGTTTTATTCTTTAAATATCTTTAAGAACTGTAAAAAACTGACTCACAGTGTGAGCAGCTTCGTCCTCTGAGAGATTTATTAAAGTTCCTATCAGGAGACAGATTTCATGTTTCCACCTTTGTCCAGTCTCAGCGAGGAGTCGCTGCTCCTGCCGTCAGATTTAATGAAAGAACAGCTGATACCATCGGACCTCAGCAACAGGAAACCATGTGCTGCTCCGACGGGCTGATGGTGCCGCAGGAAGAGTTCTCATTGATTTTGATAAACGAGGAATCAATCACACTGTAGGATGATATCTGATCTGAATTATCTGCAGGTTTCATGTTCTGACTCTGGCCTCTTCCTGTTTCAGGGTGTCTCGGCATTCCAGGCGTCCATGAACGAAGATGGTTTGATCGTGGCGACGCTGGAGCGCTCGGACCTGCAGGAGAACGTCACGGCGTACGCGGCTCAGCTCTCCGGAGAGCCTCGACCCATCCTGGTCCAGTTTGTGAACACCAGCGAGCCGCTGCTATTCAACACGTCGTTCCACGGCCTCTGCTACAGCGTGGGTCTGCTGGTCAAACTGGGACAGAGCTGGTCCAGACCCGTTAAGACTGTGTCTGTGCTCACGAGTAAGAAACTGGAACGCTCTTAAATATGATGGAGGTTTAATTCTGAAACCAGAGGAACATCAGAGATAATGTACGATGAGCTGCGTGGTTATTGAACAGTAACGCACTCGGGCTGGATTATATTATATTATATTATATTATATTAACAACACAGGGTGATAGACACATATTTGACCCATTCATTGTTCTTCAATAATGTGTTTAGACTCGTAAAATGAGCCAAATAACATGAAAACGGTCCCCTAAATTAAAAGCACCCTATTGTTTCTTATTATTTGTTGCATTAATAACCTTAAATAATGTCGACAATCCATTAAAAACCCTTAATTGATCATTTTCTATTGATTTATCTGTCGATAAAAACCCACATTGTGGTGCAGCTCTGAGTTTGCTATTTGATTTAAAGAATAAGATTTAGATTCAAGTTCAACGTATTTAGTGTCTGTAGCTTTTATAATCTGATGGTTTCAGACGTATTGAGATGATCTGAACTTCGTGTTGTCTCCTCAGAACCTCTCCCCGTCCACACCGCTCACATATTGGACTATAAGGAGTCTCCAGAGACCGGTGTCGTGTTTGAGATTGAACCTCCGGCCGGAAACGTCTTCAGCAGAGTCAACATCAGCTACACGGAGGGACAGGAGCGCCGGTCGATGCTCTATAAAGGTGACAGTGAACAGGATCTGTTCATCTAAAGGCCTTTACAACAGTTAGCTAACGTAAGCTAACGTTACTCTTTGTGTGTGCAGATTTCTACCGGGGGAAGACGGTGTTCAAGCACTGGTTACCGGGGATGTGTTACAGGAACATCACCTTCCAGCTGATCTCTGAGGTCACAGTGTACCAGACCGCCCTGGTAACACACAGTGACATCACACACACACCTCTACAGCACAGGACAGGTGAGTAACAGGCCCCCCCCACTGATTATCTGTATCATGTGATTCATTACCGCCCCGTGATCAATATATCTGCCCCTCTGTTGTCCCAGTGCCCTACCCCCCCCTCAACATCTCCCGTAAGATCGTCCACCTGAGCCAGAGGGCGGCGCCAGGTGAAACCTCCAGCATTGTCCCTCCTGATGGCGAGGAGAGCGGGCGAGCGCGGCGAGCGCGGGACGTCCCCCTGATGGAGGAGCAGGAGGAGGAGAACGTGTCTGAGGAGGCGGCGGGAACTTCCACTCAGGTTCCTTTCAACCCTACGCACAACCTGACCGCCGCCGCCAACCAGACGACTCTGAGCTACTGGTTGGACCCGACCGACCCGTCTCCCACCGACAGGGACGACGAGTTCGTCAATGCTGTTGTGTCGGAGTACGAAGACTCCAACGAGCCGGGTTCGGCCATGGGGCTTCCCTCCGAAGCCGCCGTCCTGCCCACCAAACTGCCCCCCATCCTGCTGGAGCTCCGCTGGCTGCCGCCCAGACCGCCGTCCAGCTACGACGGCTTCAATGTCTACATCTACAGAGACGGTGAGAGGGGGCGACGTCACAATAACAATAATAACACGTTAGCTAACGTAGCCGGTTTGCTGATGCTGTCCTCTCCGTCTCTCAGGTAACTCGACAGAAACCGCCACCGTGGACGAAAACACTCACGAGTTCTTCACTGAGCTAACGGAGCCGGGAACGTACCGAGTGCAGGTCACCACGCTCAGCTCGTCCGGAGACTGCGAAGCCCGAGAGAGCGCCGCCGACACCGGCTTCACCTTCTACCTCAGTACGGACGCCACCGCGCTAACAGTCTTCAACACGTTGATATTCAAATGATTCATCGACCAGAAACCTTGTTCTCATTGTTTCATCCATTAAAACTTCGTTCCAGGTCCCGGCGGCGAACTGTTGGAGGAGCTGCGCGAGCGTCCGCAGGCCGTCAGCGTCAGACTGCTGGACTCCAGCACCGCCGCCGTCTCCTGGGCCCAGTCCTCCGAGAACCACAACGGCAGCCTGGTGTCGGTGGTCTCTACAACCTGCCTCAGACCCAGTCTCAGCCAGAGGATGGAGAACACGTACTGCAGCGAGGTAACAGGACCTGCTGCCACTTATTGATCAATGCAACTTCTGATCGATCAACATTTTAAGTTAACATAAATCGTGTTGAACAATTAGTTAGAATAAGTAAATTTTTATGAGCAGCCTCAACTTCATAACTTCTGCTGATGATTATTGAGGAAATTTTATAAATTATTTTATTGTTCTTTGTGTTTCGTCTACAATCATCTGATGTTGATTTATAATAATAATATAATAGAATTACCAAATAAATGAAGTTTTATTATTATTATCTGAGGGGGGGTTGGGGGTTAGTGCCTGGCTCAGAGACGCGTCGGCAGCAGTTTTTATCTGTTTCGTGTTTCTACAGGAAAACTCAACCAGTGACATCATCAGCAACCTCACCCCCGGGGCCCAGTACAGGGTGGTGGTCTACCACACCAACGGGCCCCTGATCAGCCCCCCGTCTGAACCCGTCATCATCGACATAGGTCAGTGTCACCCCCAGTGTAACCCTCAGTGTCACCCTCAGTGTCACCCCCAGTGTCACCCACAGTGTCACCCTGAGTGTCACCCTCAGTGTCACCCACAGTGTAACCCTCAGTGTAACCCCCAGTGTCACCCTCAGTGTCACCCTCAGTGTCACCCCCAGTGTCACCCCCAGTGTAACCCTGAGTGTAACCCTCAGTGTAACCCCCAGTGTCACCCACAGTGTAACCCTCAGTGTCACCCTCAGTGTCACCCTCAGTGTCACCCCCAGTGTCACCCCCAGTGTCACTCAGTGTCACCCACAGTGTCACCCCCAGTGTCACCCGCAGTGTCACCCTCAGTGTCACCCCCAGTGTAACCCCCAGTGTCACCCACAGTGTAACCCTCAGTGTCACCCCCAGTGTCACCCACAGTGTCACCCCCAGTGTCACCCTCAGTGTCACCCTCAGTGTCACCCTCAGTGTCACCCTCAGTGTCACCCACAGTGTAACCCTCAGTGTCACCCACAGTGTAACCCTCAGTGTAACCCCCAGTGTCACCCTCAGTGTCACCCCTCAGTGTCACCCCCAGTGTCACCCCCAGTGTCACCCACAGTGTAACCCTCAGTGTAACCCCCAGTGTCACCCTCAGTGTCACCCTCAGTGTCACCCCCAGTGTCACCCCCAGTGTAACCCACAGTGTAACCCTCAGTGTCACCCTCAGTGTCACCCTCAGTGTAACCCTCAGTGTCACCCCCAGTGTCACCCTCAGTGTCACCCCTCAGTTATGTGTCTATGGATAAATATATATAAGTGTGTGTGTGTGTGTGTGTGTGTGTGTGTGTGTGTGTGTGTGCATCAGAGCCCACCGGCGTGCGCGAGCTGGCGGTGTATCCTCTCAGTCCGACCGCCGTCATCCTCAGCTGGCAGCGTCCGTACCACGTGGCGTTCAGGAAGTACGTCCTGCAGACCTTCTTCTTCAACCCCGTTACGTTGGCCTCAGAGTGGACCACCTACTACGAGATCGCCGCCACTGCCTCCGTCATCGCCTCCGTGGTAACGCACGCCGCTCTGCTGATGACGATCTTTCTGTTACTGAGGCCAAAGTGGCTCAGGACTGTTTCTGTTGAGGATGTGTTTACTTATATTTATTATTTATTTATATCATCATATATAATCTGAAAGCTCTCGCTGCTAGCATATTAGCATATTAGCACGCGTGTTAGCATTCTACATTGGTAGCTAATACTGAGACACTGATGATGTTTTAATTCCTGCTCATTATTTATTCAATATTTTACTCTATCTCGGGGCTCAAACACTGAACTTGAGGTTGAGGGTTTGATGCCTGGCTCAGCGGCACCTCGGCAGCAGGATCAGCAGATATCTGTTGATATGAAGTGATCAGTGTATTGATGGATGTATTGATCCTGCCGGTCTTTCCCCTCAGAGGGTCACCGACCTGCTGCCGGCCTGGTACTACAATTTCCGTGTTTCCATGGTAACGTGGGGCGACCCTCCGCTCAGCTGCTGCGACAGCTCCACCGTCAGCTTTGTGACAGGTACGATCACCTGATCAATGGAGCCACACACAATCAGTGATCAATGGAGTTCAAATATCAAACATATATATAATAATAATAATGATAATGCAGTGGAACAGTAATATGTCTGCTGCTCATTTATAACAATTCTAATATAATAAACTTTATTTAGAGAGCTATAAAGATTTTATTGGAGAATTGATCACATTATTGTACTTTTTTTGTACATTGTTCTGGCTAACAATGTTGAAAGGGAAATAGCCTTGGCTTCACAACTCATTATTGTACATTTAATCAATATTAATATTAATACCTGTCCCAATCACCCGTCTGTCAGCTCCTGAGGCTCCTCACATCTCCTCCGTGGATTACTCCCACGGCGTCCTGTACGTACGCTGGACCTACGGCGAGCTCTTCATCGACCTGTCGCACTCCAGGATGCTGCACTGGCAGGTGGTGGCGGTCGGCAAGAAGGGACCGGAGAGGAGCTACTCCATCGACGTGAGTTTGTACACAACTTTATTAACACTGTGCAAACACACAACTTTATTATCACTGTGCAAACACACAACTTTATTATCACTGTACAAACACACAACTTTATTAACACTGTACAAACACAACTTTATTATCACTGTACAAACACAACTTTATTAACACTGTACAAACACAACTTTATTATCACTGTACAAACACACAACTTTATTATCACTGTACAAACACAACTTTATTAACACTGTACAAACACACAACTTTATTATCACTGTACAAACACACAACTTTATTAACACTGTACAAACACAACTTTATTAACACTGTACAAACACACAACTTTATTAACACTGTACAAACACACAACTTTATTAACACTGTACAAACACAACTTTATTATCACTGTACAAACACACAACTTTATTAACACTGTACAAACACACAACTTTATTAACACTGTACAAACACACAACTTTATTAACACTGTACAAACACACAACTTTATCATTATGCCGTTAGCTAACTGCTAATGTAGCATTACAGAGGTGATTCCTGATGGACTTGTTGCTAACTGTGGCTAACTGTGGCTAACTGTGGCTAACTGTTGGTCGTTCAGTGGACACACAGAAGTGTTCCTAGCAGCCCGATAATGACGGCAGTTTCTGGGTGAACTGTTGTTCGGTTCAGGTTTGCGCTGTGTGTTAGCGATCGTTAGCTGCTCAAATTGTGATTGTTATTTCGGGGTCAGGACGTGCTGCTATTGATTATCTCCTCTGGGTCCATTCGACGGTCCAATTAGCAGCAGAGGGATGACCCGCTGTCTCTGCTGCAGCGAGTCCAGCTCGTCTTCTGCTCCATGAAGCCAATTATTGTCCCGGCAGACTCAGATCTGCTCCCATAATCATCAGTCTGAGGGGCTGAGGTTCTGTTTGAGGTTTAATTGGACTGATGGAACCAACGCTCTCAGGAACACAACAGCTTCACTTTGTAGCAGATAAAACCCGTAACCCTGCGTACAGAATGAACACTAATAACTAATGATTGTATTTATAACATGTTGCTTTTTGTTTCATCTATAAACAATAAATCAGGTGACCCGTAACGTGATGCGAGCGAGCCTCCCTCTGCCTCCTGGAGACATCTACAACCTGACAGTGACGGCGTGCACCGAACGCAGCCGCAACACCTCCATGCCAAACATCATCAAATTGGGTCAGTGCACACACACATATACACACAGTAACACACACACATACACAGTAACACACACACACATACACAGTAACACACACACACAGTAACACACACACACACACACACAGTAACACACACACACACACACACATACACAGTAACACACACACACACACACAAACACACACACACAGTAACACACAATTATTATTATTTTATTATTATTATTGTATTATTATCTGTGCATATTTATTTATCTTTAAATAAATATGCACATTTATCTGATTAATGACGCTGGTTTATTTCTTCATATTATAATGTAAGTCAGTTTGGCAGCTTTTTCCTCCATATATCCAGATAAGGTTTGTGCAAATAATAATGAGAATTAATATTATTAATAATGAGCATTAATATTATTAATAATGAGAATTAATATTAATAATAATGAGCATTAATATTAGTAATAATGAGCATTAATATTTATAATAATGAGCACTAATATGAATAATAATGAGCATTAATATTAGTAATGATGAGCATTAATATTAATAATAATGAGCATTAAGTAATAATGAGTATTATTATTAGTAATAATGAGCATTAATATTAGTTATAATTAACATTAATATTAGTAATAGTGAGCATTAATATAGATAATAATGAGCATTAATATTTATAATAATGAGCATTAATATGAATAATAATGAGCATTAATATTAGTAATGATGAGCATTAATATTAATAATGATGAGCATTAAGTAATAATGAGTATTATTATTAGTAATAATGAGCATTAATATTAGTAATAATTAACATTAATATTAGTAATAGTGAGCATTAATATAGATAATAATGAGCATTAATATTAGTAATAATGAGAGTTTACAGCTGCAGTCTGACAGTGTTTCCACCCTGAAAGTGAAAATGAAACTTGAGTTTTGGGACTTCCTCTTCAAGCTGTGAGTGTTTGTAGCCTCGCTGTCAGACGGTGCGACGGCTCTCGGGTCCACTCCGACATGGTTCACATCGTTTGCTGTCACATTCGGTCAGATTGAGGTTTTTGTTTGCGTCTGTTGGCTGCAGAGCCGGCTCCTCCGAGGTCCCTGTTCGCCATCAATGCCACGCACTCGTCCGTCACTCTGCTGTGGACCGAGGAGGGAGTGGTCGACTACTACCAGGTCCTCTGCAAACCCAACAAACCCAGCAAGGAGCTCAAGGTAAAAGAACCATTATTACTTTATTTCATCTGGTTGCTTCCAGACAGAAAGTGGCTCCATCAATGTTTCTGACATAAATAATAATAATAATCTGAAATAAAAATACAGTTTGTTCAGAAAAAGTTACAGTAAATAAAAGTTAAAGCTTCAATCTCCAGTATTATTATTATTATTATTAATGATCAATTTATTTAAATCTGAACAAAAAGTCCTCAGTTGTTTAAGATCTGTGGTTCTCAATCTGTCCTGTGGGGTCCTGTATGGTCATTGTAGGGTTCTGTAGGGTCCTGTGGGGTTCTGTAGATTCATTGTAGGGTTCTGTAGATTCATTGTAGGGTTCTGTAGGGTTATGTGGGGTCCTGTGGGGTTCTGTAGGGCTCTATAGGGTCATGTAGGATCCTGTGGGGTTCCGTAGGGTTCTGTAGGGTCATTGTAGGGTCCTGTAGGGTCATTGTAGGGTTCTGTGGGGTTCTGTAGGGTCATTGTAGGGTCCTGTAGGGTTCTGTAGGGTCCTGTAGGATCCTGTAGGATCCTGTGGGGTTCTGTAGGGTCATTGTAGGGTCCTGTAGGGTTCTGTACGGCCCTGTTGGGTTCTGTAGGATCCTTTGCGGTTCTGTAGTGTCATTGTAGGGTCCTGTGGGGTTCTGTGGGGTATCTGAGATATTGACCTACTGTGTGTTTTTTTCAAGCCTTAAAATCAAGAATCCCTCGCGACCCCCCCGTGAATGTGTGGCGGCCTCTAGTGGGGGTCCCGACCCTCAGGGCGGGAACCATCACCGGATTAAACCAGCTCCTCTTCCTCTCTGGATGTTTCACACTTTAATCTTCGTCGTCTCTTTCAGGCCCGCGAGCCTCAGACGGCGAGCTCTCACGTGGTGACGGTCTCTGGTTTGATGCCCTCGTCCGCCTACAACTGCACCATCACCAGCTTCAGCTACAGCACGCCGAGCAAACCCGCTCACATCACCATCAGCACCGTCGGTAGGTGGCGCGGTCCGCCACACACACACACAGTGGAGACAATTAAACCTTAATGTCAATATATTGAAAAACAATCTATTAATGAAGGTATAATTATGTTTGTTTTATTAATGGAAATATTAATATTATTAATATATTTATTGGGTTGTTAGATTGAGGTGTAAAAACTGCCTTTAATTTGAACATCCTATTAATGAGTTATAAATGGGTTATAAATGAGTTATTAATGCGTTATAATGTTATTTATAGTTATAAATTAGTTATTAATGAGTTATTAATGGGTTATAACTGTTATTAATGTTATTAATGAGTTATTAATGGGGTTTTAATGTAAATAAATTAAGGAAGGTTGTTTGCTGTTTTTTCAGTTGTTAAAATAAACACTTCCTGTAGAGGTTTCACATTAAAAGCCTTCTGTCTGTATTAATGAATTATTAATGAACCTGTGTGCAGCTAAAGAGATGAACCCGAGCGTCGCAGCGATCTCGGCTCTGGCCATCCTCAGCATCCTCCTCATCAGCCTGCTGGTCCTGTTCCTGCTGGTCCTCCGCAAGAAACACCTGCAGATGACCAGGTACTGAACCCTTGACCTGGATCAGGTACTGAACCCTTGACCTGGATCAGGTACTGAACCCTAGACCTGAACCAGGTACTAAACCCTAGATCTGGATCAGGTACTGAACCCTAGTCCTGGATCAGGTACTGGACCCTAGACCTGAACTAGGTACAAATAAATTTGTATCCGACTAAATAAAAAAATGAAAGGATGATTGTAGTTCCTCTAACCAACCTTTAGTAACAACAACAATAATATTGTTGATACTGATATTGATCGTTGATGATGATCAATGATTGTTTGAGGTGGAACTGGTCTGATCAGCAGTGGATCAGATGTTTTCAGGCCGGTCGTGAAGCGTTGAGGTTTTGCAGAAGTGATCTGGTTTCAGTCAGAATTGAAGTTTTATTCTTAGAATTGGTCTCAAACACAAACGACTTCCTCATTGCGTGTGAATTATATCACCGTGACAACCGCTGCAGATTACAGCCCATAATGCTGGATTTATTCCTGTCAGTTTTAATCCTGCTGCTTCTAAAATAAACTTCTGCTGCTTCGTGGTTCCCTTCAATAAAACTGTTTCCATAAAGTCACATTGTGAGTTTCTGCTTTAAGACAAACCTGAGATACTTATGATGAGACATTTATGATCATGAGTTTTTACTTTGTCAGTGAAATTAAAATGATGAAATTGTAAATTAAACCTTTTTGCTATAAAGTCAAAATTATGATTGATTAATTTTACATCAAAAATATAAAATGTTTAACTTTTTAGGTCAAATGTACTTTTTCCCAGTCCCTATGTGAGTGTGTCAGTGTTTATTAAGACTTTAACATCAGTCTGAACGTTTTATTTTTATAATCTCTCAGTTGAGGCTCAATTATTTTCACACTCAAACTTTATCTCACTTCCTCTATTTCCTGATTGGTCATCAAATATTTCTGACTTCCCCAAACTGCTCTCAACTGTTCTCACCACATTTTCCACCCATGTGACGTGTTTCTCGCTGTTTTCTTTTTCAGAGAATGCGGTGCAGAGACTTTCGTCAACTTCGCCTCCTTTGAGCGAGACGGGAAGCTTCCCTATAACTGGTAGGATCCCCCTCCGTTTGTTCCCTTCAGATCACTGAGAAATGTTTAATCTGAACAAAAGCTGAACTGTCCTGAGACCTGAGGGGTGTTTAGTAGGTTCTGGGATCCGGTTTAGTGATCACATCCTCAGTTCGGATGTCGCTGCAAACACCCTGCAAAGACCCAATCAGAGGCAGATTAGCGAATCAGCGGGGGATTGACGAGGCAGATTAGGGATTTGAACATGTAGCTACAGATTTTAGCCGGTCTGTGGCGCTTTAAGCAGCATGAGGCGATGATGATGATGATGATGATGATGATGATGAAGCTCAGCCCCCTGCCTGCTTTGTTTGGAGCAGCTGAAACGGGTTGTTTGTTAATGATGAAAGCTCAGGATTTCCCTTAATCTCAGATTAAAGGGACTCAATGTTGCTTTTGGAGTTAAATTCTACAAAACAAGAAAAGACAACTGACAGTCGGCGTTAAAGGCTGGAACGTGTTGAGTTATTTTTTATAAACACTGAGTGATTAGTGATTAATATAACAGCTGAAAGACGGTCAGTTAAGGCAGAACCTTGGCTTCCATCTGCTGTTGTATTCGACCTCCATCACTAAATGCACATGTCCATCAGAGTGTCTTCTTACTGTGGCGCTGGAGTTGTGTTTATGCTTTGACTGTGCATGTCAGCAGACCTTTGCTGTGTGGATGTGGAGATGTCACCACTGATGCAGATAAATATGTAAAATTCAGAACTAAAATTACCCTAATGTTGAGTAGAGGGTCTGCAACCTCTCCAGTGGCTCCCTCTGGCTCCGACATTATAGTCTATTAATAACAGATATTTGACATTGTCGTAGACATAAACTGTAAGTATGTGTGTCCACTACACACCCAATTTAAAATGTTAGTTAACTAAAATATGAGTCATACTTTATTTTTCCAAACATCAGTAGTGGTGGTTAATAGTCTTGAGTCTCCCGAGCTGGACTAACTATAGACCCAAACTCCAAAACAGAAAAGTCTCAGAGGAAAATATAGAATTAAACCTTTTCTGGTCTAATGACATTTTCTCAATTTTTACGTATCTTCACTTTTAAATAGGCTTAATATATGATAATATGATATATCCATGTGTTTTATATCAGAATGTGCAGAAAGACCTTGGCTGTCTGTATAATAAGGACTGTTTGTCCTACACATGGACTCATGTGGACCAACTGTTTTGGTTCTTTATCTATTATTAATTTAGCTTCACATAAATATTGGAATATAAATATAAAATAGTATATAAATGTATATTAACCAACGTGGTGTACCTCAAGGCTCCATTCTGGGTCCTGTTCTTTTCTCTATTTACATGCTTACACTTAAGTAGAAGGCATGTTATATCTTATCATCTGTATTCAATTAAATTTTTCAATTCAATTTTATTTGTATAGCGCCAATTCATAACAGAAGTTATCTCAGGACACTTTTCAAATAGAGCAGGTCTAGAACGAACTCTGTATAACATTATTTACAGAGACCCAGCAGTACCACCATGAGCAAGCACTTGGCGACAAGGGCAAGAAAAAACTGCCTGTTAAAAGGCAGAAACCTAGGACAGATCCTTTGGCTCTAGGTGGGTGGTCGTCTGTCTCGACCAGTTGGGGTGAAAGAGAGATAGAGAGAGAGAGACAGACAGACAGACAGACAGACAGACAGGTGCACAGCAACAACAGTATTGGCAATGGCAATCTAGCAGGACCATGGCAGGAGGCTCCACCAGGATCGATAAGAACCTGCGAGACGAGAAAGCACCAGAACTCCGGGGAAGAAGTGAAGTTAGTAACATGCATTAATGGAACATGAATGAGTGCAGAAAGAGAGAGGAAGAGAGGAGCTCAGTGCACCACGGGAAATCCCCCGATAGTCTAGGCCTATAGCAGCATAACTAAGGGATGGTTCAGGACTCATCTGATCCAGCCCTAACTATAAGCTTTATCAAAGAGGAACGTCTTAAGCCTACTCTTGAATGTGGAGAGGGTGTCTGCCTCCCGAACCACAACTGGAAGCTGGTTCCACAGGAGAGGAGCTTGGTAACTGAAGGCTCTGGCTCCTGTTCTACTTTTAGAGACTATAGGAACCACAAGTAGCCCAGCATTCAGAGAACATAGTGTTCTAGAGGGGTAATAGGGTACTATGAGCTCTTTAAGATATGAAGGGGCCTGACCATGAAGAGCTTTATAGGTGAGGAGGAGGATTTTAAATTCTATTCTACATTTTACAGGGAGCCAGTGCAGAGAAGCTAGTACAGGAGAGATGTGATCTCTTTTTCTAGTTCCTGTCAGTACTCGTGCTGCAGCGTTCTGAATTAATTGGAGCGTTTCTGTATGCAGATGATACACAACTGTATCAATACAAAAAGTATAAAACTTTAAGACACACTTGTCTCCCAATTTCCATAATTTTGTAGAACCTAAATCATTAATCCCAAAATTTGTTACAGCTTCTCCAACAAGTTGTCCTTGAGCTGCGACGGAACTTACTTTTCTTTCTTTTAGTTGCTCACACACACATTACAATTTAATTTCCAAACCAAGATATTTAATTAGTTACACAACTTAAAAATGTAAATAGTGTGATAGTGTGTGAAGAGTATTCATTATCTGTATCTATATTGCACTCTGGGCAGAGCTTAAGCCAAAGTGGGCTGGGCTAACCACAAGTTGTTAATTTAAGACAAAAATTGATCATCAGTGAAATTAATGAGTTGATCATAAGTTGGTATATTTATTAGAAAACAATTTACAGAACTGAGCTTCAGAGAAATGTGATTACAGTAAGAAAACAATTTACAGAACTGAGCTTCAGAGAAATGTGATTACAATAAGAAAACAATTTACAGAACAGGCTATTTTTATAAAAGTTGCTATATTTGAGAAATATAAACATGATTTTCTACAAAACTGTAACAAAAGAATTCAATATGACAAAATGTTGAATCTTGTCTAAACACAAGCATAATTTAGAATTACAGTTTAAATCAGGAACTATCAGATCAAAGAAGTCACAGAGATTTGATTTTTTAATGGACACAACAGACACATTTCACTCTGCACTTAAAGGAGGTTTCAGAGGTTTAATAGGATGTTGTTTTAATATTTCCACTCCGGAGCTTCCTATTTCAGAACCATAGTCTGGATCTTTTTTAAATAAAGAATCTGTATCTGCATCAGTGGGGTCATGAGCCGAGGAACACAAACGTTAAAGAGATCATCAGGTTCATTAAGGTGGCCGTCACGTGGTCTGATGTCAGCACCGAGTGACAGAATGTGGACTGTTTTTACATGATGAGGGTCCTGGCTGAGTGTTGCATTGTGGGATGGGCTGGGAAGACTCAGTGATGTCACAGACTCATGCTGGAGGTTGTTTAATGAGACAGAGCGGCCATTGACGTCCAGCAGTAAACAGACTCCTGTTGTCCTCCAGGGAGACAACGGGACACTTTCTGAAGGGCTGCATGATGCATTAACTCTGTGTTCAGCACTAATGTGAAGCTCTCGATGCTCAGTGCCTCTTTACTAATGGAGCACCATGTTCTGTCCCCAACCTATCGCCCCCTGGCGTCTGTTTTTCTTTATTTTTCCTTGTGTGTGTTTTTATTTGATGTTTTATTTGAACCCCCTTCAGGCGAAGAAGCCTCTTTGCCTTCCTTACCCTACTGCCATCCTGCCTTTGGACTGACTATCTTTTGGCTTTTTATATTAATCCTTGGTAAGTAAGCACTTGCTGGCCAAAAACACTGCACTTCAGGGGCATGTCTTAGCAGAGCCACAGCCCACAGTATTGATCAGAGACATTGTTTTACTCTCCATTTCAACCTAAGTGACCTCAGTGCGGAGCCACCAGATCATCTCTGGATACAGAACTGAAGGATAAGTCTGCTGATTTTCCATATTTTTCTTATTGTCAACAAATCCCATGAAAAGGTCGAAATCAACAAGTAATTTAGCGATGTGGTGTAAGTCAAGGCTCAATTCTGGGTCCCATTATTTTCTCTGTTTACGTGCAGCTGATACGCAGTCATATCTCTGTCAACAGTAGAGATACTAGTTGTCTCCTTGCCCTCAAATATTGATTGGAAAAAAGAAGTGTTGGATGTTGTGTAATTATTAACAAACGGACAAGACTTTGATGACTTTATTTCGGACAAATATTTTTACTTTTTTAAACAAATCCCAGGAAAAGACCAAAACCAACACTGTATTTATGGATGTGATGTACCTCAAGGCGTGATTCTGGGTCCTCTTTTCTTTTCTTATTTTTGTTTTTATACAGATGATACGTAATTATATATTTCAGTCAACCCCAGAGAAACTAGTAGTCTGGTTGCCTCCAAGTGGAAATTAACTGTTAGATGTCTTTCTCTAGCTCAATGAGGATCAGACGGAAGTTATTACGTTGAATTTGTCCCAAATGTTTTTTACTATATTCAAGAATTCATATGAAAAAAACAAAATCAACAATGCGTGTACAGACGCAGTGTACCTCAAGGTGCTATTCTGGGCCCTATTTGTTCCAGGTTGCTTCCCATACACAGGTTTTGGGAAGTGGCTGTTAGCTGCTCTTTATCAGAGGTGGTTTTCAAGGATGAGGACTGTCAAATGTACGTCTGGTTAACTTTCTCACCTCAGATAAAGAGCATCTGCTTCCATTTTCTTTTATATGGGAATCAACGTGGATGGGTCGAGGGTTAAAACAACTTCTTGGTTAAGGTCAGGAATGGTGATGGTCGCAGTTAAAATAAACCAACGATGGGGAGTGAAGCATGGTCACGGAAGTCCAAGGTTTTGTTGAGCCTTCCATCTATCCCGACCTTCTTCCTCTGTGGACTTTGAGACTTTATAATAGCGTCACCTGAGTCCGTTCTTTGCTTCTGGTGGACCAGTTACAAGGTGCTGATCATAAATGTTGTTTGGTGGCATTTTCTCAAATGACTGATGCTGTTGTTTTCCTGGGTCTTTACATGGTTGACCATAACATACTGCTGTGTAGTTCAGATAATGCAATAGTCATAGTTGTCGGTTTCTTTGTGGTCAGTTTGTAACCCATCATTGAGGTAACTCGTCCTATGAACATTAAATCTGGTGTTCCACAAGGCTCAGTGTCAGTTTATATCAGTAAATAATAAGGGCCCTAAAATTGATCCTAGTGGAACGCCAGATTTAGAGAGTTAATTCTTTCATGTGTTTATATCACCTATTCAGCCACTCATAACATGGTGTTCCACAAGGCTTTTGGGCCCCTTGTTATATTATATATATATTTGTAAAGTGGTATCTAATATTTTATTTGCAGATGACACTATTATATTTATTTCTCACAGAAATCTTAATAACTGCCATTTGATTTATGGAGACTCAATTCATTTTACTTGGGCCTAAATCAAAAATCACATATAGTTTGCCTAAAATTAATCCTTGTGGAATGCCGATTTTGGGGAGATAATTCCTTAATATCTGACATTACTAAAGATTTCAAATAAATTTGTTGTATTACCTGTTCAGCTTCTCTGAACATTAAATCTGGTGTTCCACAAGGATCAATTTTGGGGCCCTTGTTGTTCTTAATTTACATAAATTAAATTATGTTTGTAGAAGTTCCCTAAAGTGAGAATTTGGGGCAGCAGTACGGTGTATAAATAAACTGCAGTGTGGCTCACTGATGTGTTTTTATGGCACAGATAAAAAGATATAAACAATATTTATTAGCAGATTCATTGTTAGTTTGAGTCTGCACTTTGGATTTGTTGACAAGAAGGAAACAGAATATCACAAGACTCATACCTTAGCTCTTAAAAGCTGCATTTTGAATCAAAAAATGCTTTTTGGATTCACGGGGAAACAGGAAGTCAGCAGATGATTTTTCTGACATGTTGAAATGTGTCTTGCAATGCTGTGTCTGTGGTTGAACTCTCAATGTCACACTCAGTGTGTTTCTACTAACATGTTGGATGTAGCATGATGCTAACTGTTGATGCTAACTGCGGCTTTGCTCCATGTTTGCATGCCGAATGTCTCTCGTTTACTGTAGAAGTTCAGTTTGTAGAGCTGCTTTAAGCTCAGCTGTTTGTTCTGTTAGACATTACCGTGCATGTTGCTGGTGAAAGATTCACTTCCTGACGGCGTTACGGAGCCTCCCAAATCTATAAATGTACCCTCAGCTCTGAGCTGAGAGAACATTTGGGGATTTGAGAGGTTGTAACACTGTGAGAGAATGAATCTTTAAAGGTTTGACTTCAGAATGCAAATACAGAAGCATGAAGTGTAAAAGATAAATTACTGTAAATGTAAAAAGCTGCATGTCTGATATGGAGGTGTTTGCATAAAACAGTTTGTTTGAGATGATTCAATAAATCAGTGAGCATGATGTTGTTTCTCTGATGTGATATGATCAGTTTATTCTAGAGTCTGTTTTCTAGGGTTCGACCGATTGATGGGTTCCCCACTGGCCTTTTATTGAAGTCTACGAAACTTCACTTTCCATTTGTTCAGTTGTATTGTAACAGCGTTTTCCTACACATAATATTTACAGAATTATAATAATAAAAGTGAATGTGAAATTGATTTTTTCATTTTTCAATTGGCAGACGTGCAAATTAAAATTTAGACTTTTGAATTTGTATCTAAAAATAGATGTTTTTGTCAAACAAATGGAAACTGACATTTCAATTTCTTATTTATTTGATTTAATATTAATATTGGCATCCATAGCCATCCATATATTTTATTAAATTAAATTAAAAATTTTATTTAAACTCGTAACATTGTTTTATTTTTAGTTTGAGTTAAATTGTCATATTTAAATTGATTTATGTATGGTTTCAATCAATAAATGTATTCTAAAAATATAAACTTTTATTATTTTACATCAATAAAGGCTTTAAAAACCCACATCGATCCAACCCTGATGTCTGCAGCTCTGGATCAGTAGGATCTAAAGTAATGCAGTGTAATGCAGTATAATGTAATGTGTAATATAGTGTAACGTGTAATATAGCGTAATATAGTGTAATATAGTATAATGTGTAATGTAGTGTTAGTAATTAGTAATGAGTTATCATCATGAGGAACTTTACATGTTTGTATTTTATAGGAGCAAGACAGCTTTAAAGAAACGGAAGCTAACAAGGTAACAAGACTAAACAACAACATGTGGCTCTGTGGGCTTCATCACTCTGTTTGTTTGTTTATTTATTTCTTTGTTTGTTTGTTTGTTTGTTTGTTGTATTTGTACGCTGCCATCGCACTAATAACAGCCTTCAGCCAGAAACAGAGAACATCAGCAGATTAAGGTTTAACTTTCAGTGGGGACGAAACAGGAAACACAATATAGAATTTATAACTCTCACTGGGAAGGGTCAAAGGTCAAATGCCTTTATATGCTTGAACCCTTCCGCCAGACGTCCATTGAGTCCTTACTTACATTTTATAGAGAGATTGTAAGTCCTGTGTAATCGAACTGCAGCTCACCTGTTCTATAAATATTAATATATATATTTATGAGCTGGTGGCGTGCTGCATTCTGACGGCTCCGTCTGTATATTTCAGTCCGGTGCAGCTGGATGACTTCGACGCCTACTTCAAGGAAATGAGCAAAGACTCGGCCTACAAGTTCTCCCTGCAGTTTGAGGTAAAAGCATTCCCAGTTCAATCAGTCAGACTCAGGAGGGCTGGTTCAGATCCCGGGACGCTGGTTCAAATCCCGGGACGCTGGTTCAGATCCCGGGACGCTGGTTCAAATCCCGGGACGCTGGTTCAGATCCTGAGATTCTGGTTCAGTGAATTAAAGGTTCCTGTGAGTCCTGCAGACATCTGACAGATGTTGATGTTTTTCAGGAGCTGAAGAGCGTCGGTCTGGATCTTTCCCACGATGCAGCTGACCTGCCCATCAACAGGCCGAAGAACAGATACACCAACATCCTCCCCTGTGAGTCACTGACAGTAAAGCATTACGGGTGAAACTGAACATTAAGGTTTCATTATGTTTCTTGAGAATGGGATATTCAGAAATATTAAAGACCTGCAGGAAGAAAGAACATGTTATAACTATTAATCTAATTAATAATACATTTTATTATTAATAAAATTATAACAGCTAAATAGTTTCGCTCTTGAACGTTTTAGTTTGTGAAAGTTTCCTGTAACTGAATTTTCCCTCCAGACGACTTCAGTCGGGTGAAGTTGATCTCGATGCACAATGATGAAGGTTCAGACTACATCAACGCCAACTACATCCCTGTGAGTTCATCCTCTGCATCCACTGAACACACACACACAGTTTACTGTTTACACACAGTCTCATCTGCTTTATATTCTAAATATTAATACCGACATACTTATTTAATAACTTTATATTCCAAATAAATGAATTATTGTAGATGAAGATGATGATTATCAATAATCTCTGTGGTTTTCACTAATGGACACTTTAATGAACACTAAAGATCTCTGAAGGTGATCAGTAACATTATAACATTATAAACCAACACTAACCTGCTATATAATTATATATGTATTATATAATCTGCTGTCTGTTTGATCTTCAGGGCTACAAACACACCAAGGAGTACATCGCCACTCAGGGTCCGCTGCCCGAGACCCGTAACGACTTCTGGAAGATGGTCCTGCAGCAGAAATCTCCGATTGTTGTAATGCTTACGCAGTGCAACGAGCGGCGGAGGGTGAGTCTCCTTCCTGTTGCACCTGAGGGTGTATTTTACCTTCTGCTCCACCACATTTATCAGCTTCTTATTGTAGTAACAGATTATTACACACAGTTATTATAAGTAATAATATGAATCTCGTTCTGCTGCCCCCTGGTGGACAAACACTGCAGTCTGATCTCAGTGGAAACTATTGATCTGATCCGTATCCAGATACACAGGCTACCATACGATTCAGGGACATTTTAATATGGAACAATTCAACACAATAAGATACAGCTCTTAACATTTGTTTAATGTAGACATTTATTTTATCTGATTAAAAGCCAATTCTATAAATGTGACATTATCAAATACATATTATTTCTATAATACCAGCGAGTATTTTTCTCTTTATGGGAACAATCTGAAGACAAATGTCTGATTTCAGAATTACAGTCACTGTCTTTATTGATTTTCAGACAGATAGGTAACTTTAGATCCAGTCCGCGTACCGATGTGGTCTCTGCTGATCTTGTGAACTGATTTGAAGACCTTTGTGTCTCCAGGTGAAGTGCGATCACTACTGGCCGTTCACAGACGAGCCGGTAATGTATGGAGAGATCAGTGTGGAGATGTTGTCTGAGTCCGAGTCTCCGGAGTGGACCATCAGGAAGTTCAGACTGGGATACGTGAGTTCCAGTTGCTCAATAAAAAAAGCTGCAGGTCCACTTTGAACCACCAGAGGTCACTCTAACAGACGACCTTTGTCTCCCCCTGCAGGCTGATGAGAGTCAGGACGTCCTCCACCTGAACTACACCTCGTGGCCGGATCACGGCGTCCCCACGGTCAACGCTATCGAAAGCATCCTGCAGTTCGTCCACATTGTCCGTCAGCAGGCCAACAGGACCAAAGACCCCATCATAGTCCACTGCAGGTCAGGATCGGACCTCAACGGCTCAATCACCGATCAATAACTGATAGAAAGCAGCAATGACGTCATTAGCTGTGTTATGTTTTAATTTCAGGTTAAACAAGTCAAATTTAATGAGTTACTGTTATTGTTCAAACTGATTGTCATTACATTATAAAATAGAGTAAATGAAGTAAAATAGTAAAATGATTAAATAAAGAATAAAAACTAAGTTGTGGACGTTAAAAGGAAGTTTGAGCTCCATGTTTAATGATTTCTTCTGGTTTAGCCGTTTATGTCTCTGAGCAGGAAGAGTAGCTCTCATCCAGTGATAAAATGCTATTAGACGGATGATGTAATGTGCATTATGACTCGCTGTGGTTGACCACGTTGGTCTGATGACGCCGTCTGTGTTTCAGCGCCGGAGTCGGCCGGACGGGGACGTTCATCGCTCTGGATCGACTGATGCAGCACATCAGAGAGCACGAGTTCGCAGACATCCTGGGGATGGTGTCTGAGATGCGTTCACACCGGCTGTCGATGGTCCAGACTGAGGTGAAAACTCATCGTTCAACAGTTTCACAACAAAGTTTATATATTGAACATTCTTTTAAATCAATTATTTATGTAACCATTCAAACAGGTTGAATACCGTACAGGTTAGGGTCAGAGTCCGACTAGCGTCTGTGATTAGCTTGCAGCTAACAGGTTGTCGTCCTCTGCAGGAACAGTACGTGTTCATCCATCAGTGCGTCCTGCTGATGTGGCAGAAAAAGAAGCAGCAGTCCATCACCTCTGACGTCATCTACGAGAACGCCAGCAAGACATAATGATGGTGGCTCCTCCAGACGTGAGTAAAAGACTATAACGTCCAATCAAAACCAGCATTTGTTTCTCACTTTCCTCTTTTTAAGAATCATTTACAGGAGCTTCTCTTTCAGTTCAGTACAGCATCTGGTCACAAACGGTGGTCAGCGTTTAGCTCGCTTTCATCACCACTAGAGGTGGGCGATATATATAACGTTTGCGATAATATTGTCATTGTTGTTTTGACGATGTGCAAATTTCCATTATCGAGTATTTAAATTACTTCGCCAAAAATATTGAAACGCACGGGGAAACTCCTCACATCCACTTAATACACGATGCAGCAATGCTCTCTACAGCATGGCAGGATTCAGTCACATGACTAGTGGGCCTACGTGACCTCTCGCTAGCATCCTCCTTGCAACAGTTTAGCAGCGCGTTGTGATAGTAGAGAGAAAATGCAAACACCTCCAGTCCCTGAAGCTACCGGTACTTCAGATGATTTAGTGCTGAGATGTGGGTCTGCCTCTCTGGCATGGAAGTGGTTTAGTTTCGAAAAGACTGATAAGGGTCTGTGTCCACCAAACACGTTTTTAGTGCTAGCAGCGCCTATTTTGAATACAAATCCTATGACTTTCAGCGTTCAGAGCACTAAGCGCCTTCAGCGGTAAAAACATGCGCAGAGCGCTTCAAGTTGAAATCTATTCAACTTTTTACACCGCTGGGCGCTCGGAAAATGAGTTTTTGAGCGCTCTCAGCGCTAAAAACGCATGTGGTGGACACAAGCCCTAACTCAGACAATTTCAGTCACATTTTAAAGGATATCGACTGATTATCGTTATCGCGAAAATCCCCCAAAATAACGAGATATTATTTTTTGCCCATATGGCCCACCCCTAATCACCACTTTCCAAATAGGCCTTTTTCAAAAACAGACGTGAGTGGTGTTCAGTTAGTTGCAATCTGCAACTTCACCATTAGATGCCACTAAATCCTCCACACTGGTCCTTAAAGTTAGCTAATGTTAGCAAAATGTTACCATGAGCTAACTTAAAGGACCAGATTGCAACTCTCTCTCTTCACTCTCCCCGTCCAAGCATGATTTTCCCACTTTTTTAATAGACCTTTTTCACAGCAGCCATTTTGACATGAAAGAGTCGGGTAAACACAGGTGTTACCAATGACACTAATCACAGCTGCATTCAATAAAGAAGTGTAACAGGCTGTTTGTTAACACTGGTAACACCTGTGTTTACCCGACTCTTTTATGTCAAAATGGCTGCTGTGAAAAAGACCTTTTAACTAAAGTTTTCCCCAACTGTAACATTAATTTGGCCACAGCACAGGATAAAATATAAGTTGAATAAAAATGAGCTTTGTGTCTCTTTATTAAATTGAATCTCTCTTCCTTGTCTTGCAGGCTGCGAACACGCCCAACCTCCTGTGCTTCAGGCATCCATTCTCTGCAGAAGAAGATCAGCTTCATCATCAGTATCAACAAACCAACAGCAGAACATCTTGAAAACACAAGAGAAAAAGAATCCAGTTTTTGTTTGAATTGGTGTAAAAGCGTTGGATGGATTTCTGCCTTACAACACGTTGAACCACGACCCCGCCCTCTGAACTGGACTGACTCACGTCAACGCGGGGTGGGATGAGTCGGAGGAGGAGGAGCGTTAACGAGCTCCGTCCTGCGATTGGACATCTACACTGTGTCCGTCCTCGTTCAGACGACGGGAGGCGGCGAGTCGGTGGAGCTGAGTCAGCGGTTTTTCATTTGATTTGTTTTTTAATCTCAGGAGTAGCTGAAAAACCAGCAAGCACACCGGCCTCTTCCTCCGAATATCATTCATCATCATCATTTTTGCATCGTTTGTACCGTTCACCTCTCGCAGCGTGCAGCTTTCCTGGCTTTTTACGACGTCGGAGTCAAAAGGCGGTAGATTGCAACCGGACTCACTGCCAAATGTCCTGAACTCGGGGCCGTAACATTATTAAAAACTGCTCTAACACGCTAACAAACTGCCAGGACCGCTGCACCGATTACATCCACTGGAGGAGCCCAGCAAGCATTCGGCGACGGCTGACGTTCGGGAACATGAGCACAATATTTTACGTCTGACGCAGATTTTTAATCGGACGCTAAAAACCGTCCGAACGTAACGTTTCGGTCCTGGTTGAAGATCAAATGTTGGCGTCATAAATTTGGTACATTTTTGCTGCAGTTTTCCAGATTTCGGCTTCAAAGCAGCTTTGTAAAGTTTGAACATGAAAGTTTTTTGGTAATAAATAATTTCACTAAACGCTGCTCGACTCATTTCACTGCGTCCGTCAAGTTGGCCGCTGAGCGTCTGAATGTTTGCTGGGTCTGCACACGAACTAAAGGGCACAAAAACAGTTGAAGGGAACGAATGCCTTTCTGTGGAAACACGAGTGCCTCATGCCGCCGTCCCGTCGCCGCCGGGCGCGTCAGAAGCCAGTTTAGACGCTAGAGACTGTGGATGTAGAGCTGTAGTTTGAATTTGCACTGAGGCCTCGGAGCTGCTGACAGAAGAAGGGAAGAGCTGCTGACGGTGGAGGACCGACTGTCTTTCTATCCAACGGTCTCCACCGGAAGACGTAGATTAACTTTAGCTGAGAGACTTTTAATCTTATTGGCGGCAACAATCCTGTTTGGATCATATCTGACAGCATCTGAGGACAGTGGAACTGCCAAAACCACCCTGAAATTATATCCACGTTCCCTTTATGTTGCTGAATTTGGGAAACAACACAAACATATCTGCTCAGCATATCTCCAGAGCTGGCCCAAGACCCGAATCTGAATATCGGTAATATCTTTATCATTAAACATATAAAGCTGCAACTAGAATTTGTGACCAAATAAACGTAACCTAGTCAGTGTCTACAAAGAGCAAATATAAAACTTAAAGATACATTCTCTGCTTTTGTTACTGCGCCCCAAACGCTACATATAGAAACATTCTGGTAGTCAGCCCCGTATGTGGTTTAGCCCCTAAAAGGTTCCAGTTATAAAGCTCCCCAGAATACCAATAAGATATAATATTGACCCCCCAATTTTTTTTTTCATTACAAAATGTTGTGTAGCAATCCCTAAATGTACATAAATCTGGTACAGTGGCCACAAATACGGAATTATTACTTATGACAGAATTTATGATGAAAGTACATTTAAACACTGTTAAATGTTTATTTTGCACGAATATAATTCAAACTCTAAATTGTGTTTGCTCCCACAAGAATTTGGAATACTGCCCCAAAACATTTGATGTTACAAACGTAGACCCAAATTTAGAAATCACCTAATTTTGAAAGGTTTGTTACCATGTAAAATATTCGTTTTAATAAAAGCAATTTGCCCCAAATATTGTGATGGAAAACAGTTTATAAGTTCTGGTATCTTCCAACAAATTTTCTTATTATTATTATTATTTAGAACATTTAGAAAAGCGTTTGGGCGTTGTAATAAAATCTGTGTTAACGTTAAAATGTTTAAATATGGCGGCTCGGGGCGATATGGGTCTTAAACACACACTACTGTACAGGAAGTTGTTCTGAAGCCATTTTCTCATTTTCAGATCAACTTAATTTAGTTTAGTTAATTCTCATCTTTCTACTCAACGTTTGACTTGAAGGACAAAAAGAAAACTTCTCACTTCCTTGACGACGGAAGAGAATGTCTACTGAACAGACGAGACCGGTTGACCTTGAGTCTTACACTCCATTCAGGAAGTACTGGGTGTCGTCAAAATAAGAGCCCAGAGCGGAGCGGCTTTTCTTTTCATATTAAAAGTCCAACAAAAGATTAAATCAGATTTTTAATATTTACATTTAAATTTCTTCCAATCAAAGTTAGGACACACAGGATTGTTCCAGTTTTAAATGGATGTGAATGGGAGCGAATATAAAAGGTCAATATTAAACCTTTTACCAATTAACTCACTAATTAATGAGCTTTGTACAAGTTTTTATTTTGTTCATAAATCATAAATTAAATGTTAAGTTTCAAAACTAAATGTTTCAGATAAGTCAGTTAATATTTAATGTTAAACAGCAGAAAGTATAAAACAGATTGAAAGTTATCTGATTGAACTGAACGTTATCTAATATTGATGCTGTTTGTGTTATTTTAAGCACAAAAATTTGCTTTGTGGCCTTTTGGTTCAAACTTAAGTATATTTCTATAAATATAATTTAATATAACTGAATATTGTACATCCCCTAAAACATTTTATAACTCTAATAAAACAACTAAACTAAAAGGAAAAGCTGCTTCTGACTTCTGTTGGCGTTATTTCGACCACACCTCGTATCTAATTTGTAAAAAAATAAAATAAAATAAAAAATGAAGAAATCCATGAATGTGTGTAAAAAGGCCGCTGGACGCTTCAGTGTTGACTTTGTAAAATGATTCGTCATTGTGGCCTTGTGGTTCAAACACCTGAAGTCTTTACCTGCTGGTTCGGTCGCCACTCGATCTGAAAGGTCACGTTTCACTGTTAGATATCCGACGTACTGTACATACTACTACTGCTTACTCTGTTTCTACTCGTCATTGCTGAGTAATTCTTGTGGAAATGTTGCTTTAGAGGTTTGTTTTTTAAAAGTTGTTGTATATGTGAATCATTACCTGAGCCAGAAGTCCTCTCATCACTACGACGGCTTTGCGGTTGTCCAGAGACTCGTGGTCGTCCGGAGACTCGTGGACACGGAGGACTCGTCTGAGGCCGGAGGAACGCACTTTGGTACGACCGTCAGAAAAGACGAAAGCTCGGCACTGTACACTCTTCTACAATTCTTTCTCTTACTTAGTGTTCGTCCAGTCAGACTTGTTCGTTGGTGCCATTCTCGTGCATTGTGTCACTTAAAATTTGAGGGATGATCTCAAACTCGGATCATTGTCACAGAGTTTTAATGTGTGTGTGTGTTGGAACAAAATAAAATGTTGCAGTTACGTTTGTCGTGTTTCACTTTCTGTGTACGAACTACAAAACTACAGTTTAATGTTAAAGTTTAATTAATGACAACAAACGTACTTTTGATTTTCTTATTTTAAGCCAGAATCAGAGTATTATGATTTCAGTTATTTTCTATAACTTAAACTCAAGCCTGTTTTGTTTGTTTTAGTTTTAAAAACTTCTACCAAATATAATCATACTTCTACATTAACTTGTTAAATGTATCCCACGTTCAATATATTACATTATTAGGATACTTAACACTGCTCACTAATATTTGCTGTGTAACATAAATCTATTTGTTCAATCAATGAATTACAAAACTAAAATATAATCAGATATGATTGTGAAACAGCTGCTGATGCACTTTTAATAACTGACAGTGAGTGCTAATGACAGTTCAGCTGCTTAAGCTAACGTTGCGTTAGCTTCACACTAACAGAACGGCTCCTGGAGGCCTCGATTTAAAACTTTGGAGCTTAAAACCTAAAAACGATGATTATGATTGTGACAGAAATTTCAATGTTTAAAATATTTATTTACAGTTCTGTCGTTTACACTCAACAACTACTGAGCTACTTGCTAGCTAACTAGCTAATGCTCTAAAATTGACTTGAGACAATGTTTCTGAACAGTGAAAGAGAAAACTGTGCAACCAGTGTTGTGATAAAGTACAACACAACAGATTTGTCCGAACAAAAGGACATTTATAATCCAACGTTACTGACCAACCTATATATTTCTGTTTCCTGCCAACAGTACAGCTAACAGCAGCTAACAGCAGCTAACAACTTAAAGTTTCACCTTTTACAACTTGTTCAGACGTTGTTCATGTAAGTTATAAAAGTGCAGCTCTCAATGTGAATCAGCCATTCAAATTAATATTTAGGCAGAAATTATTTTAATTTTTTACAGTTAAACATCGATATTAAGAATCCATCATCAACTGTTAAATAACACAAACTCTGTCTAAACTTTTATCAATTTCTTATAATTTAATCGTAAAACCAAAATCTTGCATCTGATGTTTTTAGAAAAGCTGAAATCAGACATTTTACAATTTCAAAATAAAAGCTTGTGTTTGTCCTCAGGAGACTTTAAAGGTCAGATAGCAGAAACTCAGTGAGATGATTTTTTATAAAGGTTTTATTGCAGAATGAGCAGATTTAATGGAAAAGGCACCATGAAAACTATACACATACAAATGCTTTTATCGCTAACTTTTCACTCTGATTGGCTTCTAGAACTGTTAAATACAGAAACAGCGATTATCCATAAAGTACTCAGCTTTAATCAGTAGTGTTAATTACAGAGTTGTGCTACAGAAAAACCTTTTCATCAGTTTATTCCACTTCTTACTTCCTTTACACTCAACCAGGAAACTGGTCGGAGACACTTTGTGCATAAGTGGAAAACAAAATCAATACAATCAGTTGATGCCACAGTGAGGCTGATCTTTGTACATCTTATATGCAAGCATATACATACTTATTTATATTTTACAGACAACTTTTGCTCCAGATAGGCTGCTCGGTAGAAACTCATAAAAAAATAGTCACATTATTAGTTTGTGTCGTAGAAATTATCTTTTGCTTACAGAGTTTTTTCTTTCTTCCAACATTCGACCAACTTTTCTCGACACAGAATTTACTGTTGAAGAGTCAATTCTAAAATTAAAATATTATTAAATATTCGAATATTGTGAGTGAGGCAGTGCGAAGCCCCGTCCCCTTTGGGAACCTCGGCCAACTTCCTCCTGTCCTGTGCTTAGATATGCTACACTAGGCTAATCTATGATGGAACGACAACCACATTGTAAAGAAGGTTAAAATATAGAAGAGACATATATACAGTCACATCTTAAGTTAGCTAATGTTAGCAAAATGCTAGCATCAACAATGTATAAATAGCTAGTTAGCTGTTTTTGGCAACATTAGCTAACTTAAGATGTGACTATATGTCTCTTATCTTTGAACCATCTTCACAATATGGTTGTTTTTCCAACATAGATTAGCCTAGCATAGCATATCTAAGCACAGGAAAGAAGAAAGCTGCTCAAATGTGATTGGAGCACATAGAAAAAATGGGCGGGGCTTAGGAAGGGTAACCTGGTTCAGGATCTCCATGGTAACAGTGGTTTGAACCAATCTCCTGTATTAATAATCTATAAATAAATTCTACTTTCTGTCCACAGAAACTGCTGCATATAATTTACTGTAATTATCATTCAGTCGTTAACAAACTCGCGTTTAAAGCAGAAAACATTCAGTTCAGTGTTTGGACGACATTTGACCTCTCAGGAAAGACTGTAAAAAAAAAAATCAATCAGCCCATAAAAAAAAAGACTAAACTGTTGAATCATTTCACAGGTTTGATTCTTCACATAGAAACCTTTATATTTTTTATTATTTACTGTGCAAAAATGCTGCTAACAGCATCCTGTTTGTGTCACTAACTAAATCATAAATTAGAATAAAGTTATTTTTCTGTCGATCAGTTCTATTATCAATTCAACTTCTGATAAAATAAAAGGATTATATACTATGAAAATCATAATTCTCTTTGCTCAAAAATCTGAAATGTACAGTTATATACATCAGTGTGTGAATAATGTCATAAAGCCACATTTACTGTGTTTATTATAATAATATTATCAGCCCGTCACTTTAATCAACTGCTGGCTCCAGTTTGTGCCTCCAGTTTGATGTTGTTACAGTCAGAGTGAAGCATCTGCTACTCTGGAAGATCTTTGAACAACCAACATGGTCCATTAACAGATAAAGTATGGAAGCCCATCAGTGCCAGGAAAACAAAAACAAGATGGAAACTTACTAAAAATAATGTATTATTAAGTCAAGATTATGAGATCAAAAGCCATAATTATATTCATTATTTTATTTATTATCAAGGCTAAGTTTTCATCTTTTGTAATTATGCAAAATCATTCTCATAATTTCAACTTCATATCTCATAATTTTGACTTAACATGATCATTTTCAAGTTTTCATTTTATTTTCTTATTTTACTGTCAGACTTCCATAACAATATCTGATCATTAATGCTAACTATGCTAGTTGTCCAGGTTAGCATGTGTCAGTACTGAACAGGTTGTGGTTCAGGCTGACGGTGGATCAATAGAACGACTCCTTTGTGGTTAAAGAGGCACAAACTGCAGCCGCCGGGCAGCAGCAGCTGGTCGGGCTTTAATACTGAGAGGCTTCGCTTTGGAAAATGAGCTACTGAGCAGCTTCAGACACCAACCAGACGCTCCTGCAGAAGAGAAACCTGCATCAGCGTTCAGTCAACTTGAGGCAAACGTGGCAGAATTTTCTCTTTGTGTTCGAGCAGATCGGACGGCGTCCTACGGAGACGAGCTGAGGGTTTCCTGCCGTCGCCGCATGATCTCCACGAACTTGGCGTGGTCAGCTGCCGCCTGAGGATTAAGAGTGCGAGAAAAGAGCGGATGCAGTGTGAAAGAATAAAAAGAAAGTACAGTAGGGAGGAAGGGAGGAGGAGAGAGGAAGGGAGGAGGAGGGAGGAAGGGAGGAAAGGAGGAGGAGGAGGAGGAGGAGGAGGAGGAGGAGGTCACGTGGAGCTCAGTGGGTGCTGCCTTCATCAAAAGACTCCACCCCTGAATCACAGGTGGTGGCTGCCAGTTTCTCCTGTCGCCTCCTCATAATCTCCTGCAGCTCAGAGCCCGAACTCTTCTGGAGACACAGAGAGAGAGAGAGAGAGAGAGAGAGAGAGAGAGAGAGACACAGCGGGGGAGAGGAAATAGAGAGAGAGACAGACAGACAGCGGGAGAGAGCAGAGAGAGAGAGAGAGAGAGAGACAGCAGGGGAGAGCATAGAGAGAGAGACAGCGGAGGAGAGCAAACAGAGAGACAGCGGGGAAGAGCAAACAGAGAGAGACAGTGGAGGAGAGAAAAAAGAGAGACAGACAGCGGGGGAGAGCAGAGAGAGAGAGCGTAGAAGAGCAAACAGAGAGAGACAGCAGAGGAGAAGAAAGAGAGACAGCGAGGGAGAGCAAACAGACAAACAGCTGGTTAGACGGTGATAAAACATAAAAAACAAAAATAAAATGTTAACGTCTGAAGCGACTGCCTGCAGCGATCTACTGAGCGACTGCCGACTCATTCCTCCAATCAGAAGATTTTATCAGCAGATAAGACGAGAAAATCTTCTGTGGGTCGGAGCCGAACACCGCCGACCTCGGATGGGGACTGCCGCTGCGAACTGCAGAGAGCACGTGCATTAAAATATCTACAGAGTGACTCAGCTGGTTAAGTCAGGGTGCATGCTGGGTAACAGAGTGCTTCAGTGACTGGTTGCACAAAGATCAATCACAATGCTGAGTCATTAAAAAACTGCACAAAAATAAACAGTTATTATATATTAGCTTAAAGCGGGATCAGTATGAAGGACAAAACATGACTCATCAAAAAATAAATACATAAATATAACTAAAATACATTTATTCTTTACATAAAATATACATTTATATGGCTGTGGGGTTCAATTCTTCCTCAACAATTCATTTTGTATTTATTTTATAATTTCTTTAGTCCCGTTGTCTCTGTGTTTCGTCGTCATTGTGCAACCAGCTGCAGATTCTGTCGGAGCTTTAAATGCGGTTTTATTGATTACATGAACACTAGTTTCTACTTACCAACAATGAATGATCAATACCTCACAGTCAGCAGTATATCAGTAATCATCAGCAGATCAATAACTATAGAACACTTATCAGGTTTGTTTCAAAGTGCCAGAACTGTTTGTGTCCTTAATGATAAAATCTGAATGTGACATTAGAGGAAGATTCAGCGTTCGTCCAACCTGAGTTTGTTTTTGTTTGTTACTGTAACCATTAAATCAGATTGACAGTGAAGCAGCTTAATGAAAGTGAACATGAATGAATCCTCCGCACAAACTGATTCACTCATTCACATGAACTCAACAATGAACTGTTGAATCAGTTGTTCTTAAATGTGTTCAGTATTTTAAGTTCAGCTGATTTAATTCCAGTTTCAAATTCTGTGAACACATTTTAAATAAGTTTGGAGAAATGCTGCATATGAGAGTAACTTCAATTAACTGAATGGAATTAGTTCAATTAACTTAATTTACCCAAAGTTACCTTAACAATCAATACTTGAGTTACTGCGACTCAAATCAAACATCTTTCAGACTTTGACTGTTTGACTTCAACCGACTCATCAGGTTTTACATTCAGGTTCAGTTTTATTTATTATTATTTATTTGAACTTAAGCAAAAGATCAAACATTTGATTTGTACGTTTGACCCTCTTGACTCACCGTAGTTTTTCAGTTTGGTTTAATGATTTTGTGAATCTGTGGATCGTTTAAAGGACAGATTGATTCAATTATTGATGATTTGACACAAGTCAAACTTTTTTGTTTCTTTAACTCAAATCTGCAAACAGGAATATTCAATATAAAGTTTTTATTTTTATTTTATGGTTAAGAACTCTTCATAAGTGAAATGTATTATGGGAAACTACAGAAACAAGAGGCAGGTTGTTAAATATGAATCTTTCCTCATTAATAAAACTGCAGTCTGACGTGGTGCCGCCATGTTGTTGTAGCTAATAAAAGCTAAGCTAGCACACAGAGCACAAGGTTGTCTCTTCAGATCAGGTCTACATCCTGGTCTCTACGGGTCGGGGGCGGGGTCAGAGGGCAACAGGAAGTTCATTCAGGGAGTTTAAGGAGGACTCAGTGTACAGCCACAGCAGGAGGACAAATACCGGCACTACCTTAAAATGCTGCTACGCATCAAACGTCCAGAGCTTCGTTCTGACGGCCAGAGTCACATGATCCATCACAGCCAATATCTCTGATTGATCACAGCCAATATCTCTGATTGATCACAGCCAATATCTGATCGATTAAACTCAAAGTCAAGACCAGGACAAAAATAAACAAAAGTCTCAGAATTATTGGAGTTAAAGTTTGTTTGTGAGTCTTGATGGATTTTGTTATATCAGATTCCAGACTCGAGTTCAGACCTCTGAACTGAACTGAACTGATCTGATCTGATCTGATCTGAACTGATCTGATCTGAACTGATCTGATCTGATCTGAATCTGATCTGATCTAAACTGAACTGAACTGAACTGATCTGAACTGAACTGCTTTTAAAACTGTGACTGTTCCTTTAAGTCTGGCCGGCAGAAGGAGGCGGCAGACGTCTGTTAGTGAACACGATACCTTCATGAGAGTGGAAACAGAAGATCAGAGGAGGCTCAGAAGAAAACCTGCAGGTGGAAATAGACACCACACACCAGACCTTGCCAGAGTTGGGGGATAGAAAGCTTAAAGACAGAGGAGACCCTCAACAGACCAATCCGGGACCAGATCTATCCTGATCAGGACTCTGCTGGACAAGCACTCCATAAACTGAGTTTGAAGTTCCTCAGTTTCAAACTGGGATTCACTAAATCAGGTTGAAACTGAACAAATGTCTCAGATTTAATTTATCTGTTGCTAGGAAACGTCTGTAGCGCCGTCCAATCAGGAGCAGCCAGCTGTGTAAACAGGAGGTGACTGTAGCATCATGAGCTAATATATAACCTTCAAAAACATCATCAAATGACACTTCACTGTGTTCAGTTATTAAAACTGATTAAATCAAACCGTTTAACACAAACTCAGTAAATTCATAAAGATTCTTGAAGCAGCTTTTCAAAGAAACTTTACAGAAACTTTACAAAATGAAATCAGCGTTACTTAAAATTAGTAACTTTGCCACTTGATCCGGAATGTTTTGTTAACTTAAAAATTTTCGATGTCATCAGTTTCAACACTTTTTGAGTTAATTAAACTTATTTACACTGTAAAACCAGATTAACTGCAAATCTTTTGTATATTCAGGTAGAAATCAGTGAGAAATATTATTATTACTACAGTTACTATTATTACTATTGTCACTGCTCATTGTCCCCCATCGTCGCTGTTGTCGTCGTCATCATTTACTGTTAGTGTGGTTGTTGCTACTGTTGCTGTCTGTCTGTCTGTCTGTCTCTCTCTCTCTCTCTCTCTCTCTCTCTCACCCCAACTGGTCGAGACAGACGACCACCCACCTAGAGCCGGAGGATCTGTCCTAGGTTTCTGCCTTTTAACAGGCAGTTTTTCCTTGCCCTTGTCTCCAAGGTCTTGCTCATGGTGGTACTGTTGGGTCTCTGTAAATAATGTTATAAAGAGTTCGGTCTAGACCTGCTCTATTTGAAAAGTGTCCTGAGATAACTTCTGTTATGAATTGGCGCTATACAAATAAAATTGAATTGAATTGAAATATCTGGTTATGCTAAGCTAACTGACAGTAGTTGGTCATTTTCTTTATTATTAGCATTTAGCTTCTTGTGGAATATAATTTAAAGTTCACATTATTATCAGACAGCAGGAACAGATGTGTTATATATTAGCATGCTAACGTTAGCTTGTAGCCTCAGCTCCAGTAATCCCCAGAGACCGGCTCACTGTACGCTGACACTATTGATTCTCACAGCTAATCAACAATCACTTTATTGAGAATAACTGTTTTGGAAGCTAATGATTATATTTGTGTATCGAAGACGAACTGTGTGTCAGCGGTAGATTAGTCGGGATGTTTTGGTGACATCATGTTTGACCTTTGACACCCACCTCTAGCGCCGCCTTCTGGACGGTGACCTGGCTGAAGACTCGAGCGCCGTCGTCAGGACAAACCGTCTTCAGCTCCTCCTTGTTGAGAGAGAACAGCTGAGCTCCGGTCAGGACGCCGAGGCTGGTGATGGTCCTGCACAGGGGGGACAGCCAGAGTGAGACAGAGTGAGACAGAGCTGGACGCAGTGAGACAGAGTGAGACACAGTGAGACACAGCTGGACGCAGTGAGACACAACTGAGACACAGTGAGACACAACTGGATGCAGTGAGACACAACTGGACGCAGTGAGACACAACTGGACAGTGAGACACAGCTGGACGCAGTGAGACAGACTGAGACACAGCTGGACGCAGTGAGACAGAGTGAGACACAACTGGACGCAGTGAGACAGAGTGAGACACAACTGGACGCAGTGAGACAGGGTGAGACAGAGTGAGACACAGCTGGACGCAGTGAGACAGAGTGAGACAGAGCTGGACGCAGTGAGACAGAGCTGGACGCAGTGAGACACAACTGGACACAGTGAGACAGAGTGAGACAGAGCTGGACGCAGTGAGACACAGCTGGATGCAGTGAGACACAACAGGACACAGTGAGACACAGCTGGACGCAGTGAGACAGAGTGAGACAGAGCTGGACGCAGTGAGACACAGCTGGACGCAGTGAGACAGAGTGAGACACAGCTGGAGGCAGTGAGACAGAGTGAGACGCAGTGAGACAGTGAGACAGAGTGAGACACAGCTGGACGCAGTGAGACAGAGTGAGACAAGATGAGACAGAGTGAGAAACAGCTGGACAGAGTGAGACACAGCTGGACGCAGTGAGACAGAGAGAGACACAGCTGGACACAGTGAGACAGGGTGAGACAGAGTGAGAATGAGTGAATGAATGCAGTGAGAGACAGACAGTGAGCAGAGAGACAGACCGAGACAGACAGACTCACACTGGACTGAAGCCTTTAGCCTCCAACCAGGCTCTGACATCGTCTGGCGAGGAGTCGTAGGTGATGCTGACCAACTGCGGGTTGCCGCCACCGCCACCGCCACCGCCGCCGCCACCGCCACGAGCTGGAACCTGGAACTTCTTCTGAGCGCTGCGACCCAACGTCAGTCTGTGCATCAGCTCATCCTGAACCTCCTCCATGTTGGACTTCCTGCCTGCAGGGGGCGACGAGGACAGACACACAGTTCGCTGACGGTGACGAACTCCAGCAGAACGATTATCAGATAAATATGATCAATAGAATTATTGATCGAGACATTCAGGTCCAAACAGACTGCAGTGAGACAAACGGTCAATACTTCAGTCTCAGTCAGGACGTCCCGTCGCTGCTGTGGTTTAATTTATGACTTTATCCGGGAAATATTCTGATAATCACAGATAAATAAAAGAATCCTCTCGGACAAACAGACGGACTTAGAAGGAGACATTTTGTTGGACTTACGGTTGCCAGGCGCCGGCCTCTGGTTGCCGTGGTCCCTCATGGCGACGCTGCCGTTATCGCTGGATGTGGTGCTGTTCTGGCGGCTGACTGCGCTGCTGGCGGCGGTAGGCCTGGCGGGCTCTGCGGGCGGAGGAGGCAGCGGCGGCGTGGGGAGCCTGGCGGGGGCCGGAGGAGGCGGCGTGGGAGCCGGAGGCATCGGAGTGGCGACCGGTTTACTGGGAATGAAGTCGGTCCTGGTTGTCTGCTTCTGACAGAGGACAGACAGACGGTGACTTACAGTCGGACTTTATCTGGTTTGACCCTCTGAACCTGAAATGAGTTCGATGTCTGTGGTTTACCTCGTTCAACTCTCCCAGTAATTGCTGGAAACGTGAAATGAAACATAAAAGATAAAAAATGATGGAAATGAAACGAATTATTCACAACAAACTGCACGGAAATCTGCTGATGGATTATTCAAACATCAAACCGACTTAAAGGAACAGTTCCACATTTCCTGTTATCCTGTTAGCCACAAAAACACAAAGCAGAGGCACACTGCTAGCCAATCTAGCTGCTAATCAATGTTGTGCTAGTGCCAATGGGTTAACAGATGCAACATTATGCTAAGTGTTGGTAGCCGATTATAGGTACAAACCACTACTATATCTGATTATAGAGTAGTTGTTTGTAGCTACCTGACGTTATACTATGTGTTTAGCCTAGCTTAGCACAACACTAGAAGCAGGGGGGATACAGATAGCATGAGCAACCTCATGCTAGGAGTTTAAGTAGCTAATTGATTTTGTGGGAGCTGTAAACAGATAGCAAAGGTAAGTTACAAAGAACTAGCATATCTGATATTTATTTAGCCGTTTGCAGCAAACGAATGTTATACCAGGAAAGATTAGCCTAGCTTAAACACAGACAGGAAGCAGGGAAACTGTTAGCGTAGCCAAAAGACCGCTGTGATATCTAACATTATGTTAGCTGTTTCTAGCTAGTTAATGCTGTGGAAGCTACATACAGGGAGCATTCAAACATTGTGATAGCTCGTTAGCTTCAGGGTCGCAAGTCTCAGGAAATGTCCCGGTAGTGTATATGTATAGTATAATTTATATAATATATATAAATTATACATTAAAGATATATTTAGTGAACAGATGTGGAGACGTGATGGTTTTAGCAGCAGTAACAATGTGAGCCTGTTCCTTTAAGGAAATGAAACACACCTACAGCACTCGTCCTACCTTGAACAACTCAAACTCCTTCTTTGGCATCATAAGCTTCAACGATTCAAAATGAAACATGAATGAGATGAGACAGTGAATCAGACGGATTAATGGTCAAACATTAAATACACACGATGTATTCACACAGGTGGTCTGTACAGTGGACAGTACACCTGTACGGTGGAGGTCTACCTGTATGGTGGAGGTCTACCTGTATGTGGTCTACCTGTACGGTGGAGGTCTACCTGTATGTGGTCTACCTGTACGGTGGAGGTCTACCTGAATGTGGTCTACCTGTACGGTGGAGGTCTACCTGTATGTGGTCTACCTTTACGGTGGAGGTCTACCTGTATGTGGTCTACCTGTACGGTGGAGGTCTACCTGTATGTGCTCTACCTGTATGGTGGAGGTCTACCTGTATGTGGTCTAGCACCACTGTCAGGAATCTTGGAGTAATCGTTAATCAGGATTTATCATTTAATTCCCACATAAAGCAGACCTAGTTAGGGCTGGATCAGGTGAGTCCTGAACCCTCCCTTAGTTATGCTGCTATAGGCCTAGACTATCGGGGGATTTCCCATGGTGCACTGAGCTCCTCTCTTCCTCTCTCTTTCTGCACTCATTCATGTCCCATTAATGCATGTTACTAACTCCACTTCTTCCCCGGAGTTCTTGTGCTTTCTTGTCTCGCAGGTTCTTGTCGATCCTGGTGGAGCCTCCTGCCATGGTCCTGCTAGATTGCCATTGCCAATACTGTTGTTGCTGTGCACCTGTCTGTCTGTCTGTCTGTCTGTCTCTCTCTGTCTGTCTCTCTCTCTCTCTCTCTCTCTCACCCCAACTGGTTGAGACAGACGACCACCCACCTAGAGCCGAAGGATCTGTCCTAGGTTTCTGGTCTACCTGTACGGTGGTGGTCTACCTGTATAGTATGGCTGTAGATGGGCTCCCCTCGGCCCGTGATGTCCACCGCTTTGGTCATCTCCAGGATGTTGTTTGGCACGTAGCCGGACGCTCCGCCACCGTTACGAACCTTCCACCACTGCTTCCTGTCGTCCAGAACCTGACAGACGAGTGTCGGGGATCAGATATTATTATAATTATTATTATTATTATTATTGTTACTACTAGAAACAAAGAAAACAAAGTTTACCTCGACGACCTCGTCTTTCAGCACCGACAGCTCCGTGTTGTTTCTCGCCACAAAGTCATATTTGGATTTGGCAAACAGTTTGGATTGGCCAGCGTCAAAACTTCTGAAACACATCAATCAATACATCAACTAATATATCAACCAATATATTAATCAATACATCAATCAATAATCATTAGAATTACAAACACAGTCTGTGTGGCCACTATAAAACCAGCAGTAATATATAATAATTATTATAACAACAACAACAACAATAACAATAATAATAAAGCAGGTTTTAGGGTTATTTGTTGTTACAGCCGTGGAGAAGTGTCCCTGTGGATTACTGAGAGAAAAATGAAATTTAAAGACGTAGAAGTCACTCAGATTGTATTTTATAGAGCAAACGACTGAATGAGGAAGAAGAAGATCAATCAGTGGACAAATATTGATCAGATTTTATATTAAAACAACAACAGCGACGATCACAAATTAACACATCAGACTGAGAAAGAGGAAGTGAAGGAGGATGAAGAATGACTCATTCATCAGTTAAATATAGATATATAGATACTGAAATAAATCAATATTAGAATCAACAAATCTATATTAGAATCAATAAATCAATATGAGAATCAATGAATCAATATTAGAATCAATAAATCAGTCACACTTTTCAGGCACTCGTGTCTCTGAACCCCACAGGAAGTCGGCCATTTTGAATTTAATGTGCGACCTTTTCCAGGTTGTCGTATTAACTTTGGTCTGTTTGCTGTAAAACCTTCAGTGTACGTAGCGCCCCCTGCTGGCAACAGGAAGTAAACCCTGTGTGACAGTAACAACTGGATTTACTGAGGGAGACACAGGAAGCGACATTTAACGCCTTCCGAGTCACGTGACCCGTTCTTTAATTTATTTATTTATTTCAACTTTAATTTATGTTTTATTGAAGAATGAGTCACATTTTGTCCTCCATAGTTAAAAGGGCAGTAAAGAGCAGCTCAGGGATCAGTTCTCCAGGGCGTCATGTGACCTCGGGGTTACCGGTCTACGCGGCGGCTGACGGCCTGTTTAAACGCAGCCATGGCCGCTTCCTGATCCAGGATCTGCATGCGTTTGTAGGAGGCGTTGGAGAAGGAGGCGTACCCGTCTGCAGGAGGGAACCTCTGCAGCGCCGACTGCTGCAGAGACAGACAGGAAGTGGTTAAAGATACTTGTTCCTGTGGTTCAGGAGGACGTGGCGTGCGAAGCAGATACCGACCTCCTGAGCCAGTCTCATCCTCAGCTCCTCTTGTCTCTGGACCTCCACGCCGGCCAGCTCCTGCTCTCTGGACAGAGTCGCCGTCGGGAGCGCCGGAGGCTCCCAACCGTCACGAAACCTCAGCACGCAGGGCGGGAAGTAATGATCCTTCGGCCACTCCAACCTGCACACACGTTACCATGACAACATCTTACTTAAAGGGCCAGTGGGTGGGATTTAGTGACATCTAGTGGTGAAGTTACAGATTGAAACCAACTGAATACAGCTCAGCCTTTAGAGCGTCTGCGGCTGCAAAGTGTACGAAAAACATCCTGAAAATCGGCATTCCAACATAGATTAGCTTAGCACATAGCATATATCTAAACATTGAGTTTCCTCGTTGGAACTCAGCAAGCTAAGGAGCTAATACAATGCTAATCTACATAATTGTTTTTAAGATTGTTAAAAAGATTAAAGTGACATAAATATTCAATTTAATTCAATTTTATTTGTATAGTTATATTCATAACAGAAGTTATCTCAGGACACTATGAGATCTTAGCTTAGCTAATGCTAACAAAACACTACCTAACTTGTCATTAGCTAGTTTGCATTTTGCCAACATTAGCTACCAGATGTAACTAACTGAACACCTCTCGCGTCTGTATTTGGCGACCTGTGAATGAGAATGAGTAAGTAGGAGAAATACGCTGGCCACAAAACTCGTTAAAAAAAGGCTCCATCAAGATCCAGAGTTTGATTTGTCCGTTCTGGGCTACCGTACAAACATGGCGGTTCAACATGGCGGACTCCACCAGAAGAGGAACCGCTGCCTCTGTAGATAAAAACGTGTCATTCAAAGGTAACAAACACACAATGATTCTTATTTTCAGCTGATTAAACAGTAATGAAAACAGACCCATAGATGTTACATCAGCAGCAGCTGTACAGACTCACAGCGGCGGACTCCGCCACAAACTCACCTGCATTTGGTCCACCCGTCTCCCAGAGTGACCCACAGGTGTCTCTCCTCTGCGTTTCCTGTGGCGTGCAGGAAGTCGATGGCCTCTCTGGTCAGCAGAGGAACCACGACGCTGCGAGCCAGATCCACACTGCCCGATGCCTGGATCACCTGGAGGGGGGCGGCGGGAGGACGGGGTCAAGGGCAGCTTTTATCTCTAAATAATTATTCTTTATAATATTTATTTTTATTCTTTTTTGGACACTGGACAAAATTATAAACACAGCAGTTTTGTTTTTGCCCCCATTCATCATGAGCTGACCTCAAAGATCTAAGACTTTCTCTATGTACACAAAAGGCCTATTTCTCTCAAATATTGTTCACAAATCTGTCAAAATCTGTGTTAGTGAGCACTTCTCCTTTGCCGAGATAATCCATCCACCTCACAGGTGTGGCATATCAAGATGCTGATCAGACAGCATGGGTATTGCACAGGTGTGCCTTAGGCTGGCCACAATAAAGGCCACTCGAAAATGTGCAGTTTCACTGTATTGGGGGGATCTGGGGGGGTCCGGGGGGGTCCGGAAACCAGTCAGTATCTGGTGGGACCACCATTTGCCTCATGCAGTGCAACACATCTTCTTCACATAGAGTTGATCAGGTTGTTGATTGTGGCCTGTGGAATGTTGGTCCACTCCTTTTCAATGGCTGTGCGACAACACAATGTTGACATCAGCAAACCAGACGATGCCATACACGCTGTCTGCCATCTGCCCTGTACAGTACACAATTGAATTACAGTGAAAACCGGGATTCATCAGTGAAGAGAACACCTCTCCAAAGTGCCAGACGCCATCGAATGTGAGCATTTGCCCACTCAAGTCGGTTACGACGACAAACTACAGTCAGGTCGAGACTCCGATGAGGACGACAAGCATGCAGATGAGCTTCCCTAAGACGGTTCCTGACAGTTCGGGCAGAAATTCTTTGGTTATGCAAATTTCGGTTATGCAAAAAATCGGTTATGCCGATTATTGCAGCAGCGGTCCAGGTGGCTGGTCTCAGATGATCTTGGAGGTGAAGATGCTGGATGTGGAGGTTCGGGGCTGGTGTGGTTACACGTGGTCTGCGGTTGTGAGGCCAGTTGGATGTACTTCCAAATTCTCTGAAACGCCTTTGGAGACGGCTTATGGTAGAGAAATTAACATTCAATTCACGGGCAACAGCTCTGGTGGACATTCCTGCAGTCAGCATACCAATTGCACGCTCCCTCAAAACTTGCCACATCTGTGGCATTGTGCTGTGTGATGGAACTGCACATTTTCGAGTGGCCTTTTATTGTGGCCAGCCTAAGGCACACCTGTGCAATACCCATGCTGTCTGATCAGCATCTTGATATGCCACATCTGTGAGGTGGATGGATTATCTCGGCAAAAGAGAAGTGCTCACTAACACAGATTTTGACAGATTTGTGAACAATATTTGAGAGAAATAGGCCTTTTGTGTACATAGAGAAAGTCTTAAATCTTTGAGTTCAGCTCATGATGAATGGGGGCAAAAACAAAAGTGGTGCATTTATAATTTTGTTCAGTGTATATATATTATACAAGTTAAATTACTAAATTGCAAAAATTAACACAAGAGACAGAAAGTTAGAGTTTATTCTTCTTTTTCAAAGAAAAACAAGAATAAAGGTTCCTGTGTGTCCACATACTTTTGGCCACACAGTCTGTTTTGAGTAATTTCTCCTTTTTATTATGTGAAAGACTTGATGACAGATGTCAGAAAGTAAGAAGTCATTCAGTGGAGATAGAAAGGAAGTTGTGGTTAGAGCCACAGGAAGTTGTTTTATCGGGTTAATAAAATAAAGCTGACCATCCTGAGCGGGTTGAACAGGAAATGAAGCAGATCCACGGCGCTCGGGTTCTGGATTTGATGCTTCAGTTTGCCCTGCAGAACACAGACAGTCTGAATATGATAGAATACGACTGATTCATCAATATCACAGCAACAGGTTCGTGTGATCTTTATTGATTTCCCCCAGGATCAATAAAGTATTTCTGATAATGGAGATGTCCTACCAGCTGGTTGAAGGCGTGTTTGAACTTCTGCAAACAGTCCACAAACTCGTCCTCACCGGGAGGTTTGGAGCGCAGCGTCAGGACGCCCTCTGGTGGACCAATCAGACACAATCACACAAACATTTCACTTCCTGAAGGAGAAAAAACTCAAAAATCATCAACATTTAACTTGAATAATTACAAATGATGTAAGTACCTGAGCACAGACAACAGGCAGCAAATGTAACAGAAGTATTAAACAGTTTCTACATTAAAGATTCTCATCCAGAAACCTGAAGTTGTTTCAGAAAGATTGTACAGAAAAATAAATATTATTATTATATAAATAGTACTTTATTTATAAAGTACTTTTAAAAACAAACAGAACATTTATATTCAGTAAGAAAATAAAACACACTGGTTTCAGGTTCTGATCCAACACTCGTGACCTTCGACCTCGACCTCGAAAACATCATGAGGACGAAGAAATGTGAGAATTAATTTCTCAACATTTTAATGAAGTCAAACAGTTTAAGTTTATTCAAACAGTTGAAGTCTGAAAGATGTTTGATTTGAGTCGCAGTAACTCAAGTATTGATTGTTAAGGTAACTTTGGGTAAATTAAGTTAATTGAACTAATTCCATTCAGTTAATTGAAGTTACTCTCATATGCAGCATTTCTCCAAACTTATTTAAAATGTGTTCACAGAATTCATCTGAATAAAGTCACTTAAATGCTTCTTCTTTATACAAATGTTATTACCAAGTTGAATTTACTCAGTTTTCTTCCACTAAAGTAAATTATTACATCACCTGTCAAACAACTGACGGACCATAAAAAACTATTGATTATTGATTGATTATCAAAATGGCAGCCAATTCATATTCAAGCTTCCAATCTTTCCACTTTGGGCTCATTAAGAATGATTTGGATGCATACTCAGGCTTATGATGATTAATAAAGTGAAATAAAATGCTAAGCTATACAGCATTATAATGCTAACATTGTTATAATGATATAAGGTCAAGTTAAAGAAAATGAGCCCGTGGAACAAACTGGAATTAAATTAAATCAGCTGAACCTAAAATACTGAACACATTTAAGTTCAGAACAACTGATTCAACAGTTCATTGTTGAGTTCATGTGAATGAGTGAATCAGTTTGTGTGGAGGATTCATTCATGTTCACTTTCATTAAGAGGATTCACAGTGAACATTATGGGACAGTCTCGACTACCAGGTTAGAAGTTAATCTGCGTCCTCTGTTAAACTGTCATCTCCGCAGTCCTCACCTCCTGGACCTTTCTTTTTGCCTTTCTTGGTCTTCTTCCTCTTGGACAGCTCGGTAAAGGCCTCGGCCGCCTTCTGGAGTTTGGTGACGAAGAACTCGATGTCGTCCAGGATGTGGTTCAGGATTTGCTGCCAAAATAAGAGCATGTTTCAGAGAACATTAACAGGTTTATTCTTTAATGATTAAACCTAAACTAACAGAGCGGAGGTCAGTTCTCCCACTATATCTTTCTCATTATGTAACCAGATTTTCCCTCAAAGCTTCAAACTCTGATTACAGCTGAATCAAACTGCGTCCTTCAATCAGCTTTAATCTGAGGTCCAGTGAACCTGGACGACCTCCACAGGTCCACCAGCTGCTCTCAGACATGAACTATATACTGACCACATCTCGGTCCACTCTGGCTGCAGTCATCTCCACCGGTCCGTCCTCCTCACTGAACTGCTGCTCATCTGCACACAGGAAAACAACAAATCAATAACCAATAATCACACATGGAGCTCAAGATTTACATCCAGAACACTGAAGATAAAGATAAAAATGTCTGTAGCCACAAGTGATCAATTACATTTTCATTATCAATTAATCTCACAATTATTTTCTCCATTAATAAATGTTAAAAATGTCCAAATGTTCAAAACACCAATTCATTTTCTGTTAATCAATCAGTCAATCAATAAATAAACTGTACATTTTGTACGTTCACAAACTAATACTTAGCATTATGTATCTACTAGTGCTGTCAAACGATTAAAATATTTAATCGCAATTAATCGTACATTTTTATCTATTCTAAATGTCCCTTGATTTCTTCTTTTTGTCCCATTATTTTTTCTAATTTTAATGCTCTTATCAACATGGAAAAGTGGATCGGCTTGCTTTGTGCAAATGTTGTTTTTATTAAAGTCATCCATTGTCGCCTGGCTTTGACGAGGGGGCGGAGAATTCGCATCAGCTGTGTGTTTGGCCATCAAGTGGTATTTCAGACTGGACGTGCTGCGATGATAGCTCAGTTCACAACAACAAAACACACAGATCACTTTGGTCTTGTCAATGGAACCATTTGGCAACTTTTTAAAAGTAAACTTTCCATTCAGAATATTATTGGCATCCATTTCGGCGTCTCGCGCTCGCCATCCACTCAAAACGTAACATCTACTACTCTTAAACAAGTGTGTGCGACATGCCTGTTGTTTTGTTTCCGGTCTAGCTAGATCCGGTGTGGTGTTGTAGTTTTTCTAACGTTACTAGTTGTTGCAACAGCATGTGAAAAAAACTACAAAGTGTGCTAGGCCAAAAAGAACGTCAATCTCACAATAAAAACATTGACGCCGTTAAAATGGGTTTGGGTTAACGCTGTTAATAACGCATTTAACTGACAGCACTAGTATCTACAAAAACCCTCAAAGATGTTAAAACTTAAAATTATGTAAATAGTAATGTTGTTGTAACATTTAGCATGTTAGCATTCAAACCTTTAGCACACAGTAATGTTAAGTGTGTTTGTAGCAAAGACAGAAATCCAGTTTAAAGTGAACTTTAACAGTTTAAGTTAATAATTAATAACTAATAAGTAATTAAAACTAGTGTGACATCACTCACAGTCTGGCTGCTCATTGGTCCAGGCGGACCAGGCCGCCACTCGACTCTTCACGTCCACCTGATCGGACGCTGCCGGCGGCTCGGGGGCGGGAGCGGCGGGGGGAGGAGGGATGATCCCATCGCTCTTCAGGATCATCCTGCAGACAAATGGATCGGCCAATCAGCTTTCATCATGATAATATAACCTCTGAGCGGTTCAATGATTGGTTCTTACTTTAGTGTCTCTGGTCTCTTCTTCACTTTGCCTCCTTTGGCATCGATCATGGCACTTTCTATGTCTGCGTGGATCAGATTCGCCTGACGAAACATCAACACACAGATTAATTTCATACAAACAGGATCAAACAACAGTCGTTGATTTGGCCATTAATCACTTCCATATATATTGCCATTGTTAAATCAGTAGTGGTGTACCACAGGGTTCTATTCTAGGTCCACTACTGTTTACATAAATCTACAGAATATCGGTTTGGTTACCTTGATGTCGTCACACTGGAACAGGTGGAGGTCCGGTTTACTCTGACCCGAGTCTTTACACACCAGAGCCAAGATGGAGTCGTAGCTGCAGGCATTCATCACGGCCTGGCAGTGCTGGATCGTCCCGATGGGGAAGTTCTCCAACTCGTTCTGGAAACACAAGTTCAGGTCAAACAATGTTGCTCGCGGAGCTAGCAAATGTTAGCTATCTGAGTGGTGCTGGGGGAGTTAGCTAACGTTACGATATATATATATATTTCATATACACGTGGTTTCCTCACCTTCGTCTCCTGGTCGATGAGGCTCACAGTTTTCTCCTCCACCTGCAACAACATCTCCTGAGTCCAGACTTTTCCTTTAGCATCCAGCAGGCGAAGACGTCTGATGCCATCGTCCACGGTGATTATCCCGTCTTTACGGTCCAACACGAACGTGGTCAGGTGCTGAACGTCACACAGAATAACAGTTTAATCAGAACACAGCGGTCCTCTGATCTCAATGAAACAACTCAACCACATTGCTGATATCGTAACCTGTTAACTTTAGCCTTAATCTATTAGCATTATATAATAACCTGGGACCTGTTAGCTTTAGCCTCACCTCCACATGATACTGCGATGTGTCCGTCAGGCTGTTGATGCTGGTTTTGGTGAAGTGTTTTCTTTGTTCTGAAGGAAACAGCAGAGCAGTTAATGTACTGTAATATAATAATATAATATAAATTATATTATATAATAATATTATCTCAGGTCCCACCAGGAAGCTGTGTTATGTGTTACTGAATGTGGAGCCTCGCGGCTTCATTTCTTTAAAGAATATATAATTATAATCGTATTATTTAATCATTGTGTGAGTCCATGAACCTGAAGGTCAGTGCAGAAGCCTGAGAAGACAAATTCAGGGGAAATAAAGTCCCACTGCAGTAACTACCAGACTGAGTATATGACTGACTGTCACTGTCAGTGTTTGTCTAAGGAACGACTTCCTGAAAGGACTGAAAACAAAGTACATTAAAAACATTTCACAGATTCAGAAAAATACAGAAACACAAAAAGAAAAACTGAAAACTACTGAATGTATGAAAAGACGCAGTTTTTATACATATTATTATTATTATTATTATTATTATTATTATTAGTCAGAGGAAACATTTAACAGTGCTTCCAGAAAAACGCGATTATGCGTTTGCATAATTCAATGCATATTCAGCCAAAGTCTGCATATTTATGCGGGGGCCGCATTTTTTCGAATACTCCGCACTTTCGGCGCATAAATTGCCGATTTCCACGCAAAATATGCGGGATTTCATAATCCATGCATTTCCGTTGCAAAAAAGTCAAATATATCTTAGCAGAAAGTTGAAAAATGTTGCGTTTGCTTCACTCAAGAGCAGCCATTTTCCCCTGTTGCCATGGGAACTTTATGAAGTTACATAATTATGCGACGTGAACATCATCAAAAAGCTGCAAACCTGCGATGAAAACCTTACAGTTGTAAGTATATTAGTAGTATGTAAATTTACGTTACTGTAAGATATTGCACTTTGTGCATTGGAAGCACTTAGTTTAACAGAATATGTCTGTTTTGTATAGCTACCTCTGTAAAACAGGAAGCATTTTATTTTTTTATATTTTATTTATTCCTTTTTACAGAAGTTGTAGCACATTCCTTTTGTAAAGCTACAGAACTTATTAGACTCATCAATGTTTTGTAAGTTTGAGCCATGTGTTTATTAAGGTCTGAAATAAAACAGATGAGAACTTAAATATTCCCAGCACTTTCTGTGCTGTAGTATGTTTATCATAGGAAGTAATAAGAAATGACTCTTTACATTGAGGTAGTAGCCTAGTGAGAACAGGGTGTTGGGGGAATCACTTTTTTTTCTCTTTTTCATCAAACCGCAATTTTTGCAAATTCCCGCAATTTCTGGATGGACTGATTTAAGTGACCTACATGTTGACAGTGTAGCTTAGCTACGTTAGCAGAGCCTTGCCTATCAGATCAGTGTTCAGTTATAGTTGACTAATTAATGTCAACATAAGCTTCGAAGTGAACCACAACGCGAATGTTAGCAAAACACTAGCTAACTAACAATTGATGCCAGTTACCTAACTAACAGAGAAATTAGCAAGCTAAAAATTCATTTATTATATATACACAGAGCTAAAAGGGGATCAATAGCACTGCTGTTTGCAGACGATGTGGTTCTGTTCATCAGACCTTCAGAAATCTTTCAGATCCCCAAAATATTGATGACTTGAAAAGAAAGATGTTTTTAAAGTAACACACACACACACACACACACACACACATAATAATTCAACATATTGATAAATATATATATCTCAATATGTTTAATTATAGTTCCACACGTAGTCAAACCTTAAAGAAAAATCTTGGTTCTGGCTCTTATTTTTTGCTCTTTTCGAGAATATTTCTGAATATTTAATTAATGTAACCAAACCTCTGAAACCCAGAATGCTACGTTAGCATAGCATCAACCAAAACCCTCATCAACCAATCTCCATTCCGAAAACAAGCGTTTTAAAAGCTGTTTGCTCGTCGTCTTACAGACCGATAGAGTCTGAATTCAGACTTTTTATAAATCTCCATCATGATGTCGTTATATCTGCATCATTTTGATCCTTTATTGACAATAAATCAGTAAAATCTGATTATTTAAACCACCGCAGTGATAATACAGAAATGATCCTAGGGTCATATTAGAAACACTTTACTGCTACGAGAGTTTTGAGGACATTGTGAGGTTTATTACCTTCATTATCTCACAGTGGGAGGAGGTGCTGCCCCCTGTGTTTGCAGTAGGAATTACACCCTCCTCCTTTAATGGGACAACTACAGAAGCTAATTCAATGCTAATGTCACAAAATAAGAGCCAGCTCCTTTGAATCAAACACACAGTTCACTCAGCTCACTTCGACTTTTCTTTTTATGTTTGGCAGACGAACGAAGGAAATAGATTTCATCTGATCCTGTTTGTGTGGATAAAGGAGATACAGCAACAGCAACAACAACAACGACAACAGCAACACAACAACAACAAGTGCAGCCAGTGTGAGAGGGTGAATATTGCACTTCAATATATCTGATTTAATTCATATTATTTATGAAAACAGAATCAACAAATAAATGATGTAATATTATGTTATGTTTACCAGCTGCAACAGTAAATTAGTCAATCATTCAAATGAATTATTATTAATATAAGTATAATAAAAATACACATTATTCTGTACTTTACTTTGAATGCCGTCTCAGTGTTGTTGCACGATGAGAAGAGAACAAATAATAATAATAACAGTAATAATAATAATAATAATAATAATAATGATGAGGACAATAGAGAATATGTCAGAGAGAAGGAGTCTGAACTCAGCTGGTTGGTGGAGGATGAAGACTTATATGGAAGGTCGGGACGGTTTAAACGAACCGCTGTTTGAGCCAACATTGACTAATTTTACAGATTATCTTATTCTCTCTTCCCAACCTCAGAGAGCTTTATTTTGAAAGTGTAGGAAGATGACACTGTGCCGTGGAGCGGCATGTGTGTGTGTGTGTGTGTGTGTGTGTGTGTGTGCGTGTGTGTCTGCGTGTGTGTCTGGCGACACGCTTCAGTTAAACTGCAGTTAAATGAAAACCATCAAACAGACTCACCGTACAGAGCTTTGGCACTGGACTTGGCTTTATGGTTGGGAGGCTCCGGAGAGACATGGCCACTGAGAGACAGACAGGAGGGGAGAGAGAGAGAGAGAGAGAGAGAGAGAGAGAGAGAGAAAGAGACAGAGAGAGACAGAAAGAAAGAGAGAGACAGAAAGAAAGAGAGAGACAGACAACAGAGAGAGAGAGAGAGAGAGAGACAGAGACAGAGAGACAGAGAGACAGAGAGACAGACAGAGAGAGAGAGACAGACAGAGAGACAGAGAGACAGAGAGAGACAGACAGAGAGACAGAGGCAGAGAGAGAGAGACAAACAGACAGAGAGACAGAGACAGAGAGAGACAGAAAGAAAGAAAGAAAGAAAGAAAGAGAGACAGACAGACAGACAAACAGACAGTATGTTGTAGTAAAACTGATCTGATGTCTGTTATTATAAGCAAACAGCAGGTAACCGTAACAACAACACTGATGCTTTACAGTTATTACAGTCTGCCAGCAGGCGGCGCTGCAGCAGTGACACACAGAGAAGATCAATAACAGCTGATCTCTGATCAATAATCATTTACATTTAAATAACTTTGTGTGTTTGGAAATGTTTAACTTCTGCCCAAATTATTATATTATATTAAATCAATAAAATTGATCCTGATCAGAAGTGACTGAAATTTAAAAACAAATATAACACATTAGAAGCCATTTTAGTTTAAACTGTAATAGTAGAGCAGACTAATGGAAATTTAAATTTGTTTAAATTATTATTTGTTGTTATTATTAGATTTTAATATTGGCAGCCACAGACTTCCATAAATTTGCACTGTTTTTGTCTTATTTGGTGTCTTAATGTTTAATGTATTTGTGAAGCTTTTATTTTGAAACTATCATTGCTTCCTGGTTGTCAGTGGACTTTATAAATGTTATATTTATTATTTTTGGTTCAATCTGAATATCTGGGAACATGTGAGGACTCGATGTTTCCTGTCAGCAGCAGCTGGCGGTCGTCTGCTCGAGTGTCATTGAACTCAATCAGCTTCTGAAACTGGATATTTTCACACATTCACACTTTATTCTGAAGGATTAATAATTAAGGACAGCAGGACGACTCCTGATCGGCTCCGACTGTAAACACAGAGGAACTGATGTTTGTCCAACACTCAGTCATCAGTTTCACTCGTTCACATCCAAACACTGATCTCTCCGTCATGTGATGCTAAAAGACTGAAGCTAAAGCTAAAGCTAAAGACACTGAATGTTCTTATTTATCTTGGGAATTGTTGGGTCTCTGTAAATAATGTTATAATGTTATAATGTTATAATGTGCTATAACTCTACGGACAACCCCAGCTTGGCTTAGCTACAGTTAGCTAGCTGGATGCCCCCTGCCTCGCTCTGGGCTAGCAGAACGTAGCTTTATTATTAATGTACGTAGCTTTATTATCAATGTATGTAGCTTTATTATAAATGTCGTGTTTTATTATCATGTACGTAGTTTATTATTAATTGTTTTTATATGTCGTAGTTTATTATAATGTACGTAGCTTTATTATCATGTACGTAGTTTATTATCAATGTACTGTTTATTATAAATTGTACGTTTTATTATAAATTGTCGTAGTTTATTATAATGTACGTAGTTTATTATATACGTGTTTATTATAAATTGTTAGTTTATTATTAATGTACGTAGTTTATTATCAATGTACGTAGCTTTATTATCATGTACGTAGTTTATTATATGTATGTTTTATTATAATGTACGTAGTTTTATTATATGTACGTAGTTTATTATAAATTGACGTAGTTTATTATCAATGTACGAGCTTTATTATATGTACGTAGCTTTATTATTAATGTACGTAGTTTATTATAAATTTACGTAGTTTATTATCAATGTACGTAGTTTATTATCATGTAGTAGTTTATTATAAATCTTATTTTATTATCAATGTACGTAGCTTTATTATCAATGTACGTAGCTTTATTATAAATGTACGTAGTTTTATTATCAATGTACGTAGCTTTATTATAAATCTGTACGTAGTTTTATTATCAATGTACGTAGCTTTATTATAAATCTGTACGTAGCTTTATTATCAATCTGTACGTAGCTTTATTATCAATGTACGTAGCTTTATTATCAATGTACGTAGCTTTATTATCAATGTACGTAGTTTTATTATCAATGTACGTAGCTTTATTATCAATGTACGTAGCTTTATTATCAATGTACGTAGCTTTATTATCGTAGTTTTATTATCAATGCGTAGCTTTATTATAAATCTGTACGTAGCTTTATTATCAATTGTACGTAGCTTTATTATCAATGTACGTAGCTTTATTATCAATGTACGTAGCTTTATTATCAATGTACGTAGTTTTTTATTATAAATCTGTACGTAGCTTTATTATAAATCTGTACGTAGCTTTATTATCAATGTACGTAGCTTTATTACGCTTTATTATCAATTGTACGTAGCTTTATTATCAATGTACGTAGTTTTATTATAAATCTGTACGTAGCTTTATTATTAATCTGTACGTAGCTTTATTATCAATGTACGTAGCTTTATTATCAATGTACGTAGCTTTATTATCAATGTACGTAGCTTTATTATCAATGTACGTAGTTTTATTATCAATGTACGTAGTTTTATTATCAATGTACGTAGCTTTATTATCAATGTACGTAGCTTTATTATCAATGTACGTAGTTTTATTATGTACGTAGTTTTATTATCAATGTACGTAGCTTTATTATCAATGTACGTAGTTTTTTTTATTTTTATAAATCTGTACGTAGCTTTATTATAAATCTGTACGTAGCTTTATTATCAATGTACGTAGCTTTATTATCAATGTACGTAGCTTTATTATCAATGTACGTAGCTTTATTATAAATCTGTACGTAGCTTTATTATCAATGTACGTAGCTTTATTATCAATGTACGTAGCTTTATTATAAATCTGTACGTAGCTTTATTATCAATGTACGTAGCTTTATTATAAATCTGTACGTAGCTTTATTATCAATGTACGTAGCTTTATTATCAATGTACGTAGCTTTATTATAACTGTACGTAGCTTTATTATTAATGTACGTAGCTTTATTATCAATGTACGTAGCTTTATTATAAATTGTACTAGCTTTATTATTAATGTCGTAGTTTATTATTAATGTACGTAGCTTTATTATCAATGTACGTAGCTTTATTATAAATCTGTACGTAGCTTTTTATAATGTACTGTTTATTATCAATTACGTAGTTTTATTATCAATGTACGTAGCTTTATTATCAATGTACGTAGCTTTATTATAAATCTGTACGTAGCTTTATTATCAATGTACGTAGCTTTATTATCAATGTACGTAGCTTTATTATAAATCTGTACGTAGCTTTATTATCAATGTACGTAGCTTCATTATAAATCTGTACGTAGCTTTATTATCAATGTACGTAGCTTTATTATAAATCTGTACGTAGCTTTATGATAAAGCACATGTTAAGCGCTGTGTGGGTCATTGACTGGTTTCCTGATTGGGTCCTGGCTCAGGTCCAGGATCGGGTCCAGGATCGGGTCCCGCTCTGCTCTCCGGCTCAATGACCTCATTGTCTACAGCCTGAAGCCACATTAGCTTTGGGAAATTAGCACGGCCGATTAAATAAGTGGATCAATTAGCATCAGAGAGGACGGGGTTCAGGTTTCACTGGGTCAGTCTGTTCGGGTCCAGCACTCCCCACAGACCACGTGAGGGTTTCTGTCTCCTAAACTAAAACCTGCAGCTGCTAACAAACAACGGCTTCAGTTACAGTTCATTAACAATTCATTAAAGCAACAAACGGGGCTGCAACAATATTCATCTTCTGACACCTCAACAACAACAACAACAACAACAACAACTCACTACGGAGCCTGAAAAAGATCTTCAATTAACCCTTAATTATTAACCCAGAGTAAAACACATTTAGTCTAAATGAAGCCGTTTGAAATATTTTTTTATTAAATGCAGATAAAACTTTAAAAATGAACAGCAAGAAGTTAATGAACTTAATTTAAACATTATGTAAAATAATGAAGGAATCCATTAATGACGAGTTTAAGGTGTGAATAAGGGATTTTGGTTTAACAAGATTTTAATGTTTTGATATTTAACTGTTAACTTTACGAGCGCCGTTAACTTGTACCTTAATTCCTTAAAAAGAAAAATTGTGTTTTAATTAGAACATAATTATATGTTAAATTAAACATTAAAACATATTGATTGTAAGAGATTTTAACCTTTAATTAACAGACGTTTCATGTTTTAAGGGATTTTTGAAGGATAAAAAATATAAAAATAAATAATATAAAAATTAATGTGGTTAATATTTCAGTTAATGTGAACATTGATGTTCATGTTGTTTTAAAGGTTTTAAGTTTTTTTATTATACAACTAATAACTAACGACAGTAACATTTATGCAAACTGAAGAAACTATATTTAGCGTTAGCATGCTAATGTGAGTGTGTTGTACTGTTGGTGTTAGCGTCCGAGTTGTAATTCAGAGACTATAAATCAGCCAACTGGAGACAAACTGACCATCAGCTCCTGTATCTGCACATGCTCATACAGCTGACACAGCTAACATGGCTAACAGACAGGTGAGACACTGACTTGATCTGTGAGCTGTAGGAGCCGAAGATGCCGGAGGCGAGAGCTGGAGTTTCATATCCGTTCATCCTGCTTCACAGTGGACCGTCAGCTGGAGGTAGACACAGAGGACATCTTCATCATCACCACCTTCATTATCATCATCATCATCACATTTCATGTCACAATTATTATTATTATTATTATTGTTATTGTCATTGTTATTGTTATTATGTATGGAAGCTCATTCTGCCAATGTGATGGAATAAAAAGATCTTTTAAGTCAGAATAATGAGAAACTTTTCTCATAAAACTAATTATTAATCACATGGGCAGAATTTGTCTTCCATACACCTGTTGTTCTGTAATCAATAGAGGACTGTCCGCTCTCCAATCAGTTATTAATATTGATTATCAGTGTATTTCCGTCCTGTGCAGCAGCTTTAAGACTCTCGCTCTCATTAACAACCTTCCTCTGGAGGGAACACGGAGCCTCCCCGGGCTGATTTATGAGCTGCTGTATGTACAGTGCAGACACGTGTGATTACTTTTCCCAGGACTCCATGTTTTATTCAGCCGGGACCTCTCAGACTCCATTTTGGACTGTGTGTCCATGACAACGGCAGGCGGGAGGAGAATGAAAGCCTGTGAGGCCGCACTCAGGGAGGAACTGATAAAACCTCTCAGATACGGATTCACATTAAACATACAAAGGACGAGAAGAAGAAGAGTTTATATGACAGATACAGAAACATGTGACCAGAGTAGAACCGCTGTGATTGGAAGGCGCCTCAGAGCTCGCTGTGCGTTACATACGATAAATAAATGTTCTTTATCACTGTTTGTGCTGGGAGGAGACTTCCTGTTTCACTGAAGCATTCTGGGAGTCAGAGACACCGAGCAGGTTTCTGGACTTCAGTGTCTGACGGAGGGAACAGAGATCTATAAAACCACTTCCTCTGCCAGACGGATTTATTTAACAGATAGGAAATACAGACGTAAAGATTCAGTGTCTCTCTGTGAGGACGGATGGATCCATTCCTCCTCCGAGTTGATTAATCAATTAGTCGTCAACTATTCTGAGTTTTGAGTCATTTTAATTAAAATCTCTAATATTTTCTGGTTTCATTTGTCCTCTGACCTTAAACTTCATCTTCAACAACACCTCTGAGGTTTTGGGAATCAATCTGATCAATATTTTATGGATCAAACAGCTAATCTATTAATAGAGTAACTGATGGACAGATTGATTGATGATCAGTTGCAGGTTGTGAGGAACACTCAGGATATTTCTGCCCCTGTTGAGAAACTTCAGTGTTGGGCACATTTAGGACGCCATATTAAGCTGTCAGTTGCCGTGACAACAGCAAACAGCTGTGTTGTGTTTGTGTCGGGGGGCTGTGAGGCGTTTCCCCGGCAACAAGGGCCTCCAGCAACTGCAGGCGGCGAGCAGAGCGAGCAGCGAGCGCACAGATCTGAGAGCAGCCGCTGTGTTTAATATGTAACCTGATAATCGGGTCATGTGACGCACTGAGAGCAAACAGTGCAGAGGTCACATCCCAGCAGCAACAGCAGGAAGCAACATTTATACTGGCCCTGCCCTCCGTTACCACGGCAACAACAGTGCAGCGTTCATACCGTACGACCCTCGTGCAGCCAGGCCAGTAGGTGGCACTGTGACTGCAGCTCAACACCACAGAAGAAGAGCTTGTGTTAAAGATAAAGATTATCGACCAATAACAGGAAATATAATTATAAATGATCAGTTATATTATCGATGTCCGCCATTAGAAGTTATTGTATCGTATGTATTGTTTGTGTGTGTGTGCATATATATTAAATAATATAGTGGACAGAGTCTTAACCCTGCAGTGTCTCTAGCAGCCAGCAGGGGGCACTCCATTGGTTGCACAAAGAAGCAGATAGTATTGAGTCTTATGGAGAAGTTGATGTATGAGCTCAGTAAACAGTTTCCTGATGAGTTTCTGGTCTCAGTCTCTAGTTTCAGTCTTCTTCCATACAGCATGATGTTCATTTAGTAACTGATGGTCCCATTTAGAGTAAAACAGACCATAAAGCAGGGTATGCTTTAGGGCGGGGCTACCTTGTGATTGACAGCTCATTCTCAGTGAGTCCGTCCAGCTCAACCAAACTCAGATCAAACTGTCGAACAGTGCTGATCAGATATGGATCCAGATTCTGTTGTTGACTCTTTCTCTCCTCAAATCTGTTCACAAACACATTTTACTGTTTATCTGGAATACCAGATCCTGTGTGAGCAGGAGAGCAGCCAATGAGAGCAACTCAACTCGCTGTACGTGACCTCGGCTGGCTGCTGAACACCAACATGGAGACGGCCATAAAGCCCAACTGGAGGTTCAGAGCTCCACAGACCGATGGGGGACCAGCTGGTTCCTGTACAGCGGCGAGCACAGACAGGAAGAGAAGATGGTGACGGAGATTATTTAAAGATATAAAAAGGGGCTTTCACATTTTGATTTACAGCTGAGCCCTGCTCGCTATATGGGCGGGGCCTCGATACCTTGGCGCCGACCCCAACTCTGGTTGAGGCATTTACACGTGGATGGTTTGAACACAGGAACATGAAGCTTTATTTCCTGGTTAATTCAGGTTCTTGGATCATAGATTAGATTATGAAACCGACTGAAGCTGTTAAACTGTAACTGATGTTCAAACATTAATGAGTCACTTTAGAGGAAGTGCTGAGTCACTTTAACAACCACATAAAACTGGAATCTCTCTGTTTACACGACTTAATGCAGTATTATTATATATATTATCTATATATGGAAACAGATCAAATTAAAGTTTTCAGGTTTGTCTGATGTAGAACAGTTCATTGAAAGAAAAAATTAAACTTCCTGTAGTTTCTGATCAGACTATATTCAATCTTTAAGGGACTATATTTCTACTAAAATGGTAGAAAATGACTCAAAATAAGCAACAAAACCAACCAAACTAACAGATTAAAAATCTCCACCAACAACTGGAGGATCTCATCATGGAGACAAATTCACTCAATAAAAAACAAACTAGAGCTGAAATTATTGATCATCAGCCTACAGAACTGTGTGTCTGACAGGGTGGTCAGCAACACTGGGGCCCCACAGGGGACTGTCCTCTCTCCCTTCCTCTTCACCTTCTTCACCTCAGACTTCAACTATTGCACCGAGTCCTGCCACCTTCAGAAGTTTTCTGATGACTCAGCAATAGTTGGCTGCATAGATAAGGGTGATGACAATGAATACAGGACTGTGGTGGGCAACTTTGTCACTTGGAGCGAACTGAACCATCTGCAGCTCAACATGACAAAGACAAAGGAGCTCGTAGTGGATCTGAGGAGGGCGAAAACACCAGTGACCCCTGTTTCCATCCAGGGGGTCCCTGTGGACACTGTAGAGGAGTACAAGTACCTTGGGGGTGTACTTTAATAATAAGTTGGACTGGACCAGAAACACCGAGGTGGTCTACAAGAAGGGCCAAAGCCGACTCTTTTTCCTAAGGAGGCTGAGGTCCTTTAACATCTGCCGGACGATGCTGAGGATGTTTTATGAGTCTGTTGTGGCCAGTACGATCTTCTTCACTGTCACATGCTGGGGCAGTGGGCTGAGGGTCGCTGATAACAACAGACTAAACAAACTGATCAGGAGGGCCGGTGATGTCGTAGGGGAGGAGCTGGACACCCTGACGACCGTGGCAGAGAGGAGGATGCTGTCCAGGCTTCAGTCCATCTTGAACAATGTCTCTCACCCTCTCTACGACACACTGGCCCAGCAGAGGAGCACCTTCAGCAGAAGACTCCTCTCACCCAGACGCACCACAGAGCGCCACAGGAAATCATTCCTGCCTGTGGTCATCAATCTCTACAACGCCTCCCTCAGAGAGTCAGACACCCCCCCTCTGTAATTCTGACCTCAAACACGGACAACCACTGTTGCGCTTTTTGCACATTTCAAACTGTACATTTTACATTTTACCTTGTGTATACAGATATATATTTATATTTATGTAATATTATATATGTTGTTTGTATATCTGGAGTTGTAATGAAAGTAATTTCCCTCCTGGGATTATTCAATTTCTGATTGTGATTCTGATTCATTTGTTTGTAAGTGCCGAACTGATGTGAGCGAACACAGAATGAGTAACTGAACGGCTCTTGTGATTGGCCGACAGACTGAGAGTCTCACAGAGGAATAAAGAGGATTACAGACAGATTTACAAACAGAAACTTAATCCGACCATCTTCCTCTTCAGGACACGTCAACTACTACTGCCTCTACAGATGAGCTGATTCAATCAATAATCTATGATCAATAATCAGTGTGTAAACTCTATAGCTATGTTCTATATGGAGCTGATTCAATCAATAATTAACAGAAATATTAACTCTTAAATATTTATTCACATTAAAAATGTAAAAACCTGCTCGGAGCAACTGCTAACTGCTAACCACTAACTGCTGCTAGCATCAGCTAGCTAAATACAGCTAGCATGATGTTGAATATGCTAACTGTTTGTAAGTATTATAACATCAAAAGTTATAAACTAATATAACATCGGTCAGTTCAATTCAATTTTATTTGCATAGCGCCAATTCATAACAGAAGTTATCTCAGGACACTTTTCAAATAGAGCAGGTCTAGACCGAACTCTTTAACATTAATTACAGAGACCCAACAGTACCACCATGAGCAAGACCTTGGAGACAAGGGCAAGGAAACACTGCCTGTTAAAAGGCAGAAACCTAGGACAGATCCTCCGGCTCTAGGTGGGTGGGAGAGACAGAGAGAGAGAGAGAGAGAGAGACAGAGAGAGAGAGAGAGAGAGAGAGAGAGAGAGAGAGAGAGAGAGAGAGAGACAGAGAGAGAGAGAGAGAGACAGAGAGACAGACAGACAGACAGACAGACTGACGCACAGACAACAGTAGCAACAACTACACTAATAGTAGTGACTGATGATGATGAAAATGACAACAGCAACAATGATGACAGTACTTACTGCTAAGCTACGCTAGCTAAGCTACCCTGTCTGAAGCCACATGTTTACCATCCACTGTCACTATCAGAGAAATAAGCTGAGCTAACGTTAGCATTAGCTCGGCTCTGTCTGTTGACATGACATCATAACCTGGGACCTGTTAGCTTTAGCCTCAGTCTTTAGCAGTGGAACTACTTTATTCAGTGTTTTTATTGGTGTGTTATTAACATTAATGAATATAAACTGATGTCAGTCAGCTGCTGCAGACCTTCATTAGATTTAATGACATTTATTTAACATGTGAGCTCAGTCATAATGAGAGCAGCATTGATTAATCGTCCTCTGATTCTCCAACAGGATCGAGGCCACAGAGCTCTGCAGGGAGCTGATACAGTATGTAGGTTAGAGTGAGACAGTGAGAGCCAACAGAGGTGGTATGAGGACTGTAAGAGTGACTGTAAGAGTGAGACAGTACAGAGAGTACTGTACAGACAGTGATGAGTGACTGTACAGTACAGAGAGTAACTGTACAGAGAGTGACTGTACAGAGAGTGACTGTAAGTTACTGTACAGAGAGTGACTGTAAGTGATGACTGTACAGAGAGTGACTGTACAGAGAGTGACTGTAAGTTACTATACAGAGAGTGACTGACAGTGACGAGTTACTGTACAGAGAGCAGTAGAGAGTGACTAGGTGACTGTACAGGGACTGTACAGTACAGAGAGTGACTAGTACTGTACAGAGAGGCTGTAAGTGACTGTACAGGGTGACTGTACAGAGAGTGACTGTAAGTTACTGTACAGAGAGTTACTGTACAGAGAGTGACTGTACAGAGAGTGACTGTACAGAGAGTGACTGTGTACTGTACGGAGTTACTGTACACAGAGTGACTGTACACAGTACAGAGAGTGCTTTAAGTCATGTACAGAGAGTGACTGTACAGGGGACTATACAGAAATGTTTAAACAGGATAGAATTATGTTCGTAATAAATTAATCTATTGTGTTTATGTTCATTAAATGATGTCTAAACACACGTTTCACTCTTCAGCTCTCAGATATATTTGGTTTCCAGTTAGAGAAGTTTAAAACCTCAAGGAGGGAAAATCAAAGGTGACTTCTTCCAGTCGGAATAAAATCTCTAGTAGTTTGGTGACGTATGGATTAACATTCGGTGAAACTCAGGAAACTACAGTTATTAATCAAATTCACTGGAAGGTTGCAGCCATTATTCAAAATAACAGAATTCACAGTAGCACCAAAAAACCACAGCAGTGTAGCAGGAACAGTGAGCTGGTATACAGAGCTAACAGAGCTAACAGAACACGTAGCTAACAGCACATGTAAATCAAACGTGGGCTAGCAGTTCCCCCCTGCTTCCAGTCTTTGTGCTAAGCTAGGCTAACCTCATCCATTAGTGCACAGAGGAACCACAGCTCCATTACAGCTGCTGAGTTTGATTTGTTCAGATTACAGTGTGATCACCTCTGGCAGTTTAATCCTCTGTAATCCTCTCATCAACCAGCACATGTTCACAATCTAAAACCAGTTTCATCCTCACTTCTTTCAGTCTGACGGAGAGTGAACGCTAACGAAAGCTAATGATAATAATCCAGAATAATCCTCACTGTGTCTGTATTTCTCCACATGGACATGATGTGTACAGGAAGTGGTTTAATGAACAGCCTCTGAAGGACGCAGCTGTAGATAGAGTCAGTGACACAGATTCACTATAAACAGCAGCTACAGTAAAACTGATTAAACTGTCAAACTAAAAATAACTCGTCCTGAACTCTGATCCACATCTCCAGCTCAATGTTTCACCCTGTCACAGCATCAGACAGCAGGAAGTAGAAACTAATGTAGCTCCTCCCACTCAGCTGATTGACAGCAGGAACAGCAAGCTGGTAGTCAGAGCTAACAATGCTAACAGAGCTAACAGAGCTAACCAGCAATGATCAGTCACTAGAAGCACATTCACACAGTTTGTAGGTAAGCTAACAGCTGTGTTGTAGCAAACTCTTCTTGACTAATGGTCGACTATAAGGGGCATAAATAAATAAATAAATAAATAAAACAACCGAATTGATCCAGATGTGTTTTTATTGATCAGTATCTAACTCAACCCTGCATTGTTTTTCCTGCAGCAGTTTCACAATAAAAGCTTTAATATGCAGCAGCAGCAGCAGAAGAAGTGAACTGAATCAACGCCTGCTGGAAAGATCTATAACGGGACCAGATCCCTTTGGGGGGTCCTGACCCACTTTCTCAACTGAGACCTGTTAACCTGCAGACCTGCACAGGTTCTGATGGGATTTATTTTTCTACCTGCTTCACTTCCTGAAACAAACGTTGTTCCTGTTTTCTCTCTCGTACATCAGCAGGAACATAAATCAATGAATGCTTGAATCTGATATTGTGTTTTATTAATGTTTCAGGTTGTCGTCAATAAAGTGAAATAAAGTGATATTGAGAGTGCAGAGATAATGAGGTTCACAGAGAGCCTACCTGTATGAAAGGTCCACAGGTGAGTCTCTGCCGTAACAACCCTCCACCGTCTCTTAGGTAAAGTGTTTCATGTGTGACGGATTACGGAGGATCCAGGACTCTGCAGGACCTGGATTTGCTGCAGCAGCTTGTTGTTGACGAGTTTAAGCCTCTAATTAATGAGTCATTATGGACAGGGGGCGGGGCTTGTAGAGCAGCTGACAGGTATAGAGAAAACAGCCACGAGGTAAAGCTCCTCCACGTTTGTCGTTCCACGACAATGACAATATTTCACTGTGGAAATATAATAATATTATAACACATTGTTCTTTTTACTGCCGACACGCCCAGCTCGCCCTCAGCAGGCGATAAAGCTTTTTATCTTAAAGTTTTATGATGTTTTCCTCTGACGGAGCAGCAGCTGTTTGTCTTCTATGAACCAGGTTAAAAATAGATCTAACAAAGAAATGTTAGTTAATATTTGTTCATATCAGCAGCTTCTCACTGATTCACTATTCTCAACTTTTCTTCTTTTATTAAAGCTTCTGTATGTAAACTGTCATTAAACTGTAGCTAACAGCGCCACCAGTGGTCGCTCACTGAACTACAGTCAGCATCCTGAACGCTGTAAAATAACTGACAATCATATTTAGAATAACATTACTGTCTGTAATGTTCCTTTATTTTATTTGGACCATTAGCTCCATGCTATTAACTAGCTCACTGTTTACAAATCACCCATCAGCCAACGCCACGAAGCAACCAACGCCAGACCTTCACCGCAACGCCAGACCCACAATGCAACGCCAGACCCACACTGCAACGCCAGACCCACACCGCAACGCCAGACCCACACCGCAACGCCAGACCCACACTGCAACGCCAGACCCACACCGCAACGCCAGACCCACACTGCACAGCCAAGATACAGCCAGACAGACAACCTCAGCTTAGCTTTGCTACAGTTAGCTAGCTGGATGTCCCTGCTTCGCATCACTCTTGAATAGTAGTAAGCTAACGTTAGCTTTGTACCACTACATCATTTATTTTTGGCTAAAATCAACTCCGTTTGTCAGAATACATCAGTTAGCTTCATAGATCTCATTAGCTGGGGAAGCTAACACTAGCCAACTAACATATCTATCTAACCACTCAGATAGTATTTTGCTAGCGATAACATTAGTAACCAAGCTACAGTTACCCAGCTAACAGCCCAATCAGACAATATGTTCCACTAGCTTTGCAGTAATGTTAGCTTTGACTTTGGACTCTGTGTGGTGGACTCTGTGTGGTGGACTCTGTGTGGTGGACTCTGTGTGGTGGACTCTGTGTGGTGGACTCTGTGTGGTGGACTCTGTGTGGTGGACTCTGTGTGTGGACTCTGTGTGGTGGACTCTGTGTGGTGGACTCTGTGTTGTGGTGGGTGTTGGTCGTTTGTAGACGTTAGCAGACTCCATTTATAAACTAATGTTAGCTAGTGTTGCCCACTGTTGGCACTGTAGGGAAGCGGAGAGAGAAGGCACTCGGGAGCATGAAGGTCACAACCTTTGACCCTCATCTGATTCATACATGTTTTGGCTTAGAGGTGTATTGTCTGTGCACACAGTGTAATTACAGGAGATAAAACAGTTAAAGTGATGATGTCATACTTATCACCTGATGGATGTCAATAATTGTCATTGATTATGGCCATGAATACCTGATCAATCACCTCCTGACACCTCTGACTCAGCGTGAATAGTAAATCAATAAGTGAACACAGTGACTTGAGAACTTCCAACTGTTGTTAATCTGATGAGAATTCCTCCACAGAGCCTGAAATAATCCAGATTTAATGAAACTCACTGATCCTCCGGCAGAAACACACACACAGCTTCAGCTGGAGGTATTGATCAGTAATCATTACTGTTTCTGATCGTCACTCTGCTGTCCGACTCTGCCCTTCACTGACCTACTGATCTTTGTCCTGATCAATAACGAAGATCTTTAGTAATTAAACTGTTTCAGTAAGTCCAGATGTTGATTCACAGAAATAACAATTATTGAAGAGTTATTAATGAGCCTTATTACATCATAAATCTGATAATGATTATTTATCAGTGATTATTAACCAATAAAACTGATCAGGACACAGCTCATCAGTCATGTGACTTATTCAGAGTGTTTCTGTACTGTATGTGGTACTGTAGGTGTGCTGTATGTGGTACCGTAGGTTGTACTGTAGGTGTACTGTAGGTTGTACCGTGGTTGTACCGTAGGTGTACTGTAGGTGTACTGTAGGTGTACTGTAGGTTGTACTGTATGTGTACTGTAGGGTTGTACTGTAGGTTGTACTGTAGGTGGACGGTGTACCGTAGGTGTACTGTAGGTGGTGGTACTGTATGTGGTACTGTAGGTGTACTGTAGGTTGTACTGTATGTGTACTGTAGGTTGTACTGTAGGTGATACTGTAGGTCGACTGTAGGTGTACTGTAGGTGGTACTGTATGTGGTACTGTAGGTTGTACTGTAGGTTGTACTGTAGGTGATACTGTAGGTGATACTGTAGGTGTACTGTAGGTGTACTGTATGTTGTACTGTAGGTGGTACTGTAGGTGTACTGTATGTTGTACTGTAGGTGATACTGTATGCTGTACTGTATGTTGTACTGTATGTTGTACTGTAGGTGTACTGTATGTTGTACTGTAGGTGGTACTGTAGGTGGTAGTGTAGGTTGTACTGTAGGTGTACTGTATGTTGTACTGTATGTTGTACTGTATGTTGTACTGTAGGTGTACTGTATGTTGTACTGTAGGTGGTACTGTAGGTTGTAGTGTAGGTTGTACTGTAGGTGTACTGTATGCTGTACTGTATGTTGTACTGTATGTTGTACTGTAGGTGTACTGTATGTTGTACTGTAGGTGGTACTGTAGGTTGTACTGTAGGTAGTACTGTAGGTGTACTGTATGTTGTACTGTAGGTGATACTGTATGTTGTAGTGTAGGTTGTACTGTAGGTAGTACTGTAGGTGTACTGTATGTTGTACTGTATGTTGTACTGTATGTTGTACTGTAGGTGTATGTGTGTACTGTATGTTGTACTGTATGTTGTACTGTAGGTGTACTGTATGTTGTACTGTAGGTTACTTAGGTTGTAGTGTAGGTTGTACTGTAGGTGTACTGTATGCTTACTTATGTTGTACTGTATGTTGTACTGTATGTTGTACTGTGGTGATACTTAGTGATACTGTAGGTGATACTGTGGTGATACTGTAGGTGTACTGTAGGTGATACTGTAGGTGTCTGTGGTTGTACTGTAGTTGTACTGTGTTGTACTGTAGTTACTGTGGTGATACTGTAGGTTGTACTGTGGTATACTGTGGTGATACTTAGGTTGTACTGTAGGTGTACTGTGGTGTACTGTAGGTGTGTGGTGTACTGTAGGTGATACTGTATGTTGTACTGTATGTTGTACTGTATGTTGTACTGTAGGTGATACTGTAGGTGATACTGTAGCTGTACTGTATGTTGTACTGTAGGTGATACTGTATGTTGTACTGTATGTTGTACTGTAGGTGATACTGTAGGTGTACTGTAGGTGATACTGTAGGTTGTACTGTAGGTGTACTGTAGGTGATACTGTAGGTGATACTGTAGGTTGTACTGTAGGTGTACTGTAGGTGATACTGTAGGTCGACTGTAGGTGTACTGAAGGGTTTCAGGTAAATTACAGAGAAACAGGAAGTATTTTGTTCCTGTTGAGCTGCAAGATGAAAGGATGAATAATCGGTTCAGAGGTCGGGGAACTCCTTTCTGACTCATTTTCCAGCTGCTGCTGTTTAAATATTAATACATCAATAATAATATGACAGCCACTCTGCAGTATGATACTATCATTGATCATACATTAAACATTGTGTTACTGTCTGTAATCTATAATCTATATTATTGCTGTATTGAACGTTTATTACAGTTGAATTGATCCTCAGTACGACTGTTTGCTCTCTGCTCCTCTTCAGAAGATATGAACTATTGTTATTGAATGTGAACAGAAATCAGACTTCCTGTAAAAATATGAGACTTATGGATCCTTTAATAACTGTATAACCTTTAATACTGTGTGTGTGTGTTACTGTGTGTGTGTGTTACTGTGTGTGTGTGTGTGTGTGTTGTGTGTGTGTGTGTGTGTGTGTTACTGTGTGTGTGTGTTACTGTGTGTGTGTGTGTGTGTTACGTGTGTGTGTGTGTGTGTTACTGTGTGTGTGTGTGTGTGTGTTACTGTGTGTGTTACTGTGTGTGTGTGTGTGTGTGTTATTGTGTGTGTGTGTGTGTGTGTGTGTGTTATTGTGTGTGTGTGTGTGTTACTGTGTGTGTGCGTGTGTGTGTGTGTGTGTGTGTTACTGTGCGTGTGTGTGTGTGTGTGTGTGTGTGTGTGTGTGTGTGTGTGTGTGTGTGTGTGTGTGTGTGTGTGTGTGTTACTGTGTGTGTTACTGTGTGTGTGTGTGTTACTGTGTGTGTGTTACTGTGTGTGTGTATGTGTTACTGTGTGTGTTACTGTGTGTGTGTGTTACTGTGTGTGTGTTACTGTGTGTGTGTGTGTGTTACTGTGTGTGTGTGTGTGTGTTACTGTGTGTGTGTGTGTGTGTGTGTGTGTGTGTGTGTGTTTGTGTTACTGTGTGTTACTGTGTGTATGTGTTACTGTGTGTGTGTGTGTGTGTTACTGTGTGTGTGTGTGTGTGTTACTGTGTGTGTTACTGTGTGTGTGTGTTTGTGTTACTGTGTGTGTTACTGTGTGTGTGTGTTGTTTTTGTCTCTAATCCCTCTGAGATAGTTTCGGTCTGAGGACAAACTGAGGAAGAGGAGTTTTTGTTGTTGTTGTTGTTGTTGTTGTTTACTTTAGTGTGTGTGTTTCCTCACTGAGAAGCAGGAAGTGAGTTTGAAGTTGGGAATGTATGAACGTATAGAGACTGACAGCCAATCAGAGCTGGTGTTACTCTGCTCCTGTTTCTATTGATCGAACTTTATTGATCGTTCACAGTAAAGCTCTGATCAGAGATCAATGACGTTATTGATACAGAGGAACAGTCGGTCATTAAAGACGCTGCCGTGAAACTCAATCCCATAATCCTACACTGCTCCTCCGACACCCGGCAGGTGCTGTTACATCACTGCGTCGCCATGGTAACCAACACACACACACACACACACACACACACACACACACAGTGAACTACATATCAATAAATAATGACAATCACTAAATGATCAATAGTCTAAATTAAAACAGAGCGACAATGTTTAATATCTACAAACACCAAACGGACAGTTTTGGAACTGATTCTTCTTCTTCGTCACATTTGTCCGGCCGCAGTATTTCCTGAAACTCGTGTGTCAGCAGCGCCGTGATGTCACTGGGTGGACCGGCTCCACGGCACCGTGAAACCCTCCTGAACCGCCACAACCAAACCTTCTGTGGATTGTTACTGGGTAAAGCTGATCAATAGCTTTATTGATAACTTATTGAGTTTAAAGGGGAATTTGGCAACAATTTCAAATTAATGAACCCGTTTAGAAATCATTGGATGGTTAAATGGTCTGTTCCGGTGTTAATGGTGAGATATATATAAATGTATATATAATATATATTTTATTAAAATATATATATATAATAAATATTATTATATATATATATATTTATTATATATAATAAATATTATTATATATAATAATATATATATATATATAATAAATATATATAATAATATATATATTATTATATATATATTATTATATATAATAATATATATATAATAAATATATATAATATTATATATAATAATATATATATTATTATATATAATATATATATATTATATATATAATAATATATATATAATAAATATATATAATATTATATATAATTATATATATATTATTATATATAATTATATATATATAATAAATATATATAATATACGTCCCAGAGCTGTAGGCGGAGAAAACACGCAGCGACCAAAGTGAAAACCAGTGAAGAAATAGCTAGAGTTGCCAAGTTCCTCTTTAACATATCGATCAATGAGCTCAGAGGGGGCGTGGCCTATAAAGCCATCAACCGTTGATTGACACTGATCCATAACGACTGCCCCCCCCCCGCCGGCTCTCAGTTTCCTCTTTTACTGAACACAAACTGTTTTTCTCTCCAGATATTTTTAGTAAACTTCCTCCATCGCTGGGAAACGACCTCCGTCTCTCAGGAGGACGGGGGGGCGGTTCCCACGGAGACAGCAACAGATCCAGGACCAGCTGTGGGGGGGGGGCGGTTCCCACGGAGACAGCAACAGATCCAGGACCAGCTGTGGACTTTAATCCTTCGCTATCTGCGCGACAAAGCCGCAGGAATCAGCTGCGATTACACAACCTCGGCTCAAAGGTCCTTACAGTCTGTAGGTGACCTCTGACCTCCAGAATGTAGGTGACCTCTGACCTCCAGAAAACACCTGACAGGTAAACTGATCACAGACCGTCCCAGAATGCACCTGGAGGCTTTCACACACAGCTGCTAACATTAGCTGCTAACGCTAGCTGCTAAGATCCAGACGTCCGATCTAAACAGTCAATGTGTGACAGCTTCTGATTATTGATTATTGATTATTGATTTCAGGAAGCACTGATTACAAACTGCCCAATAAATCTTTATTGAATGTCACTCAGGAAGTCTTTCTGGATGAATCAGGGATCAATAACTAATCAATAACTGTATCAGCTGCTGAGTCTGAGGTCATCATCCCTCTGCCTGTCTGTCCCTCTGTCTGTCTGTCTCTCTCTCTCTCTCTCTGTCTGTCCCTCTCTGTCTGTCTGTCTGTCTACCTGCCTGTCTCTCTCTCTGTGTGTGTCTCTCTCTCTCTCTCCATCTGTCTCTCTGTCTGTCTGTCTGTCTGTCTGTCTCTCTCTGTCTGTCTTTCTCTCTCTCTCTGTATGTCTCCGTCGTGTGTGTGTGTTCTGCCTGTCTGTCTGTCTACCTGTCTATCTCTCTATCTGTCTCTCTGTCTGTCTCTCTCTCTCTCTCTTCTCTCCATCTGTCTCTCTGTTTGTCTGTCTCTCTCTCTCTCTCTCTGTCCCTCTCTCTCCATCTGTCTCTCTGTCTGTCTGTCTGTCTGCTCTGTTTGTCTGTCTCTCTCTCTCTGTCTCTCTCTCTCTCTCTGTCTGTCTGCCTGTCTCTCTCTCTCGGTCTGTCCCTCTGTCTGTCTCTCTCTCCGTCTGTCTGTCTGTCTCTCTCTCCCTCTGTCTGTCTGTCTCTCCCTCCCTCTCTCTGTCTCTCTCTCTCTCTCCATCTGTCTCTCTGCCTGTCTGTCTCTCTCTGTCTCTCTCTCTCTGTCTGCCTGTCTCACACTCAGGATTCATTAAAGACAATAAACATCCAATCAGTGTTTTTCCCGCTAAAAGCAGGTGAGCAGCTGAAGTCAAAGATAACCGGATCCGTTTGTTTTACCCTCCCGGTAACCCCGCTGGGACAATGCGGGCGGTGATATCGGCTCGGTTCGGTTCGGCTCGGTTCGGTCTCTCAGGTAAATACAGGTGTTTGTCTTCCTGTGACAAACCTTCACCTTCAGTTGTCTCACAAACACACACTGTGCCAAACTCCATTTAGGATTCTGCCTATTTAAGGAGACTCAGCGGGTCCAACAGTATAAACTGTCTGTCTGACATTAACGGGCTGCCAGCAGCTGTTTGTGGTTCTGTTGGTGATTTCAGGATTAATTTGATCCATTATTAGTTCATTAATTTTACATTAATGACTCGGTAAAGCTGGGTTTGGGTTCCCACTCCTCTCTGTCACTACCACTGAGTTCTCCGAGAACACGCTAGAAATAACAGGAGAAGTGGTAATAAAAGTTGAATTTAAATGACTGCGTTATATTTCCGGGTGGTGGACCGGAGCCGAACCGAAGCTGCGGTTCTGACTCTCTGTTGAATTGCGGGATTTCGGTTATATTTGCGCATCAATATCTGCGGGATTATTTATTGTAGTTTTTCCAATGAGGTCTGGTGCGGGTGTTCGCTTACAGGAGCGCAGGGCCAGCTTTCCTTCCGACCAGCAGATCAAGTTGCTCCGGTTGCTTTTACATTTTCAGTGGGCTGATCGAGCCGATCACATCAAAGATGATTATTGATCCCTGATTGGCGGATGATTAATGAGAGAATGGTTAACGGACAGAACCGTCGGTGTCCGGTCGGTGTCCGGTCGGTGTCCGGGTGAACAGCGTTACAAGCAGCTTACCTGCAGGTGTGCTTCATCCAATAATCCGGTTAACGGGAGAAAAACATGGCACAAAGACCCGCCGCTGTCTCCGGTCTCCGGTCCCCGGTGCTGCTCCCCGGCTGCTCTCAGCACTCTGTGTCCGACCAGCGCAGCTCCTGCTCGGCTGCACGAGTTGAGAGTGTCGGGGATGTGACTCGTGTTAAAGTGTTTGACTGATGCGTAAAAGCAGCAACCTGCCCGGAGACACTGCGACACTGCGCCCTCAGCGAGGACTGACAGGCTGCAGGCGGCCACAGGACACGCCCCTTCCACTCTCCCACATACAGACTAATGTGGACCAGAGACATCGACCTGGACCCTAATGTGGACCAGAGACTTTAATCGACCTGGACCCTAATGTGGACCAGAGACTTTAATGTGGACCAGAGACTTTAATATGGACCCTAATGTGGACCAGAGACATCGACATGGACCCTAATGTGGACCAGAGACTTTAATGTGGACCAGAGACATCGACATGGACCCTAATGTGGACCAGAGACATCAACATGGACCCTAATGTGGACCAGAGACTTTAATGTGGACCAGAGACTTCGACATGGACCCTAATGTGGACCAGAGACTTTATGGACCAGAGACATCAACATGGACCCTATGGCAACGTGGACCAGAGACTTTAATGTGGACCAGAGACTTCGACATGGACCCCAAAAAGACAAAGAATTTAAATGAGACATATCGACATGGACCCTAACGTGGACCAGAGACTTTAATGTGGACCAGAGATATCGACATGGACCCTAACGTGGACCAGAGACTTTAATGTGGACCAGAGACTTTAATGTGGACCAGAGACTTTAATGTGGACC